CATACTGGTGGGCAGATAACATAGAAGTTATAAGAAGAAATTATACGAATTAAGAAGAAAAGACACCAGAGACAGGAAAAAGAACCGACTAGTAGAAGAGAAGGCCGAAAAGAAGGAAATAACCAAAGAAAGAAACAGCGAAAAGAGAAGGTGCTGGAAAGAACTATGCAAAAGTCTGAAAAATAAAATACGGGGCACGCATATAAGATTGCAGGAAGATAACTCAAAAGAAACACCTTCTTTAAAATAGAGGACAGCCGCAGGACAGAACTGGCGAAAGCACTGTTCCGGCAACGAGTGGAGGAAACTTTCCAAATAATACCTACAGGAGCACCAACAAACGGCTTCACAATGGAATAGATAATGGAAGCAGGGAGGGCACCTAGACCTGACAGAATTACACAGGAAATAATAAAAACCATTATTGAGGAAAACGCTGAATGGGTGAAAAACATAATGCACAACTTCCTCGGAAGACAGAAGTTCCTCATGGTATGGAAAGCGGCAAACCTTATTCTCATCACTAAACCTGAGAAAGACATGGAAGAACCGGGTGCTTTTAGGCCAATATGTTAAAAATCCTTACAGTCGGAAAAATGAAATATTACCCATGAACGATCACATCAACCACTTTAATTTTTCGGACTGTATAAAGGATTATCTCATAGACAGGAACATTAATACTAAATATGACACAATGAAGACATATCCGAGAGTGCCACTGGGCTCGGTCCTAGGTCCTCTGCGAATGTACTCTAATGATATACTGAAGATAAACCTAGGAGAGCGAATACACGCAATTGCTTACGCAGACGACCTGGTCATACTAGTGGAGAATGGGCCCATAATGAATAGGGCAAACACAGCTCTTGAACTAGTTAGGATGTGGCCAGAGGAGAGAGAACTGACGCTAGATGGAAGACGGAGGCCAGAATCTTCAAGGGTCCAAGAGCGAGAAAACATATCTTCTTCACTTTGTCGGCAGAAAATATCCTACCTGTCAAATATCTGGGCGTAATACTGGACATTAAACAGAGCTTCGGTGAACACATAATATATGCTGCGAAAAAAACCGATCAAAAAACTGCAGCGCCAAAAAAGATCATGTAAAACATAGGAGGTCCGGAGACACGTAGAAGATTTATTATGGAAGTGGTCCACTCCACCATACTATACACAGCACCAGTAGGTATGGCAGCAGGTAATGCATAAACAAAAATACAGAAGAATTCTGGAGAAAGCTCAGAGAAAGGCACTGCTGATGGTCGTCTGTGGATATAAGACAACTTCGACAGTTGCCTTACAAGTGATAGCAGGGGTGCCACTAATTTACCTACTAGTGAGAGAAAGAGCAATGATATAAGGCATGAGTGAAAACGACAAAGTAAACGGGAAAGGTGTGACCAACGCGAAATGGCAAGAAGAGTGGGAAAAATAACATAGGGCTGAATTCCTTTTCTCTCTTCGTATTTCTTTATTGTATTCAGTTATGAGTTTTTCTGTATATTTCCCAATTCTTTGGCTTTATTCGATAGCCCTCTTAGTTTTTCCAGTTTTCTGTTCCACCAAGGTGTTTGTCTCTTATTCATCTTGGTTTTACTTGGCGCAGTTCTCCTAGTATGATGTAAAAAATGATTCGCTGATTCTATCATTCGTCTCTTCAATATCTAAATATGTTTTGATATTATCAACTGTATTTCCTATCTTTTCTTCCAGATCGGCTTGATTGATAAACCCCATAAAAGGGGAACAAAATTATTTGTCTTATGTGATTTGTACAGATACTCTTACAGATTTGAAATTTACAATGAACCTGGTAAAAATGTCCTACTAGGAAATCCTGATCTTGGTGCAGCGTAAAATACCTACATCAATCTATCAAATTGTTTGACTATACCCAACTTCAAAAACTGCATTATCTACTTTGATAATTTTTACACTTTATTGGAACTGCTAGTGTATCTTTACACAATGGTTATTTATTCATTGGGAACTATTTGAACCAATTAAATTCTTCTTCTTTTTCTTGATGTGCCTATCCGTTACGAATATTGGCGATCATTATGGCAATCTTTATCTTATCTGCAGCAGCGCGGATGTTGTATTGAACCAGATTTTGAGGTGCTTTAACCTAGATGTTCTTCTTCTTCCTAAACCTCGTTTTCCAAATATGTTTCCTTGCAGGATGGCTTGAAGGAGAGCATATCTGGTTTCATTTCGCATATGTCCGAAGAATTGTAACTTTCGAGATTTAATGGCGGTCAGTACCTCTCGGTTCTTATTCATTCTTCTGAGTATCTCATTTGTTTCTCGGTCAGTCCACAGGATCTTAAGTATTCTCCGATATAGCCACATCTCAAATACTTCCAGTTTTTTGCACATATCTTTGTTCAAGGTCCACGATTCAACACCATAAAAAAGGATAGGGAAGACGTAGCATCGCAGCATTCTTACTTTTGTATCGAGAGAGAGGTTGTGACTCTTGAAGAAGGCCCCCACCCGATTAAAGGTGGATCTAGCTTTTCCGATGCGTGCTCTAATCTCCTGGTTGTTGGTCCATTCTTCATTTATTATGGTGCCGAGGTAGTTGTAGTGTGCGTCACTCTTTCTACAGGAGATTGGTTGACGTAGAGTTGACCTTCTGTTAATCTTTTCTTGCTAATTATCATAAGCTTTGTCTTCTTAACGTTTATATTGAGTCCATATGGTTGACTGTAACACGTGATTTTGTGTATAAGAACTTGTAGGTCTTCTAAGTTGTCCACAAATACTATGGTGTCACCTCCATATCAGATGTTGTGTAGCCGGTAACCATTTAGTAGAATACCTTTTTCAGTTTCGTGCAAAGCTTCTATAAATATTCTTTCAGAGTATTTATATATTTTCCACAGTACTATGTAACTGTATGGCACCATATGCAGAACGGATAGTAGGAAAATACCAGGCTGGTTTCAGAGGTGGTAAATCGACAATTCATCAGATTACAATCCTTAAACAAATTTTGGAAAAAAACTGGAATATGGCATTGATATTAATCACATATTTATAGACTACAAAGCAGCCTACTACTCTGTAAATAGAAGAGAAGTTCAAAGCAATGAAAGAGCTAGGAATACCAAATCAGTTGGTCAATTTAACAAAACTAACTCTTGAAAAAGTTAAATGTAAAGTAGAACTCAGCGGGAACTATCTGAACCTTTTAAAACAAATAAAGGGCTGCGCCATAGAGACTGTCAGAACAAGGTTTCTTGATAACATAGTTGAATATATGAGAATATGTGCTTGGCAGAGAGGCGATGGATAGAGATGACTGGAGAGAAATTCTTGAGGAGGCTAGGACCCACGCAGAGTTGTAAAGGCAGAATGATGATGATAGCTGCAGTACATCTGGTTTATAATAGCTTCCAAAAAATGTAAATTAAAAAGTCTACTACATTCTTTCCAATTTTTATCAATTTATGTTTTACTTTTTTTTAATACTATTTTCATTTTGTTAAGTATTAAGCTTTTACAGTTATCCTATATAAATAAATATAGTGCATAAGTTATTCCTTGATTTCTTTCTCATGTTGTGAGTACTGGTATATCTTCCTTAGTTTGCTGGACATAGTAGGTAATCAGTCTGGAACAAGTTATATCAGTGCTTCAGGGTATAAGGCCCGGCGCAAATTGAGCACAGCCCACGAATGGTCCAGCCTAGTCCACGTACACGTTTTTCAATACTAACGCATATTGAACACAGCCCACGTCCATGTCAAACATTTGTGTAGAATATGTTCTATCCATAAAATTAGGAAAAACACAATTTACGAGTGTGCTGATTGTCACGAAAAACCTGGACTGTGCATAGGAGATTGTTTTCGCAAATACCATTCAACGAAAAGATAGACTGTCTTCAGTATATTAGTTTAAATAAAGATTTTATTTAAACTAATATAGTTTAAATAAAGACCTTTTAATTTTTACCTAATATCCCAATAACAATTTCTAATCTGAAAATATAAATATCTTGAAAACTTTCACAAAGGCTAAGGGTAAAAAATTGAAATCCTTCAACAAAAGACTATACAGGTAGGTACCCATAATTTGAATAAGCTGGTTTTGCCGATATTGCCTTTCTAATTACTAATTAGCATCACAGGCAGATATTGTAACTGGTATTATTGAAATAAGTGAAATAACGTAATAAACAACAAAAGAGCTAAAAAAATACAAAAATTCCAGATCGTATTTTGTTTTCGAGATAAATTTAAATTTGAGAATTTATTATTTTTCTACTTTCTTCAGGTTCTTTTTTAATTTAATTTCAGTGTATAGAAGCCATTATATCAGCATCACGAAAAAGTACCATCAAATTTTATTTTGAAGTTTACATCTTAGGTGTTCATAAACATTTTGTTAGGAAATGAAAATTTGTTTTTTTTCCTTAGTTCTCGATTTGTTATATTTTTCATTTGATTTCATAAAAAATGAATTTTTTTGAATAATTATTTAGTTTCGTTCTCATATAATCTTCATTACTAGTATCATACAAGACACTAAAGCTTCGAACAATTTCAATAAACTTTTCCATTTTCACTGAATAACAAAAAATTGGTCACACAAAACAAAATAACTAAGGTTAGGTAGAGACCCACGAAACTGTGTTGGTAGCACAACTCTATCCACGCCAACCAAGTCTGGCCGTGGTTTGGGTTTAATATGTGTCGCTCCGTCTAAAACCACGTTTTACAAAATAACCCATGAGTGTGCTGTGCTCAATTTGCGCCGGGCCTAACAGCATGATGCCACATTTGTTAATATATAATAATAAGAAGAAACTGGGGATATCCGGTTAAGTTAGTATCTACTAACTTGCTGTTGATATTGTATTAATGGAATGATCACCTAACAATTTTGACCTCAACCAGATTGAGCATTGACTAAGAATATCACTGAAAACTAGATTGCTTAAAATATTAAATTGATAATAAAAAATTTTGGTTTTTATGTTTTATTTTAGCACTAGATAAACATAGAAAATTAGTACAATCAAGTAAAGTTATCGGTATGCTTCATAATTTACTTATAAACTTAAAAATACATTTTTTAGATATTGATCACCCTAGATAATTTTTGGACTCTATTCAGCAGTAAATCTCCTTGTTTTACAACAGAATTAAACTGGGCATTCTTTAAATCTGGTCTATTAGTTTCAACAATTCCCCCAACTCGATCAATTTTACAATGTAATCTTCCTGCTGCTATAAATGTGGATAGTTCTTTATCAATGTATTCAACTGTGACGCCAAAGGCTTCTGCCATGTATTGTAACGTAAGAGACCTATATGACTCCAACAATTGTGTATAAGCAAGTATTTTCATCTCTCTTACATAAAAACGATAGTGAGGATTCAAGAAATAATCTTTTCTCAGCACTGTTTCAACTTCTGCAAGATTTGTGAAAAATTCGGCATACTGACAGTTATATAAAGAAAACAAGTAATCTTTTACAAATGGTTCCGAATGCAATACTTCCAATATTTCTGAACCTTTTACCACTTTATCTCTTAATTGGTTCCTTGGCAAACTAATAATAGAGGTGTATACAGTATATCTGACAAATGCTTTATAGTCCATTAGTTCATAAGATGTAAAAGTGCTTACTGTATCCAAAAACAAGTTAGCAGCTGATTTGAAGTCTCTGACAGACATACAATATGCACCTTGATACACTTTTAAACGATTTCTTCTATCCCAATCACCTCCTTCTTCAATAAGGGTTTTAGCTTTTTCAATATTTCTTGTGATGAGGTCATGGTCCATGAAGAACAAACCAATTCTTATCAAGTGAAAAATAATATCTAAACGATGGCCAAGTGATACAGTTTTATCATATGTTTGTCTGAAAGTACTAACTGCGTTGTCTTTATCACCAATTCGGCTGTAGTATTCTGCTTTTCTTAAGTAGGCTTCTCGAACTTCCATTTCACCTAAATTTTTCTCAGCATCTTCTATGGCTTCATCTAACAGCTTGATCTTCTCAGCGTTCTTAGCTTTTAATGCACTTAGTAGATTAGTATCAAGTTTCCAACCAGCATCTTTACAAATGAGTTCATACCATGGGGCCATATCATCTTTCTTTATAGCTTCTGTTATTTTTGCGTGGACATTTTTATCACTACGATATTCAGGTAAATTTAACAAAAACTTACAATGTGCTAATTCTAAATCAGGGTTTTTCTCAAGACCCTGGTCTTCTAAATTTTCAATCGGCATTTTGTTTAGTTCTGAATAAACTTTTTGTTAAATCAAAATGACCAACAAATTTTTGACGTGACGAACTGAGAATGTCAATTGAAATGACAGCGTTCGTCATTTGTCATTTCAAACATAGCCAACATTCAAATGTACACAAAAACAATTATGAATGAAAATGGATAAAGATAATAAAATTTAGTAATGTAATTATTTAAATTATAAACAATTTAGTAATATTTCATTTAGTTATATTTTAACTCGAATAAAATATGTAATTCTAATGTGTTCAAACTGTTTGTAATTTTCTAAACCATCGTACATAGAATTTTATTTAGCTCTACATAATGATTGGCATTGGAAATACAACAGTTTTAATCGGTTAAAGATTAAAGATTAATATCGGTAAGAAATACAACATTTATTATAAAGCAACAGCTTTTATCACAGAATCAAAAATCATCTCAATTATAAATCGATATATAAATCGATGTAAGTAACGATTGTTTTTATTTGACTATCTGTCAATAATGACATTCGTGACACAGCACAACACATGATTTTCCAGTTTTGTTTATATTTATAAGACGTTCTCAAAATATTAAAATAAATGCGATGCTACCGAGATTATTTAAAGCGGATGACATTCGCAAACACCAAATAAATACTTTAAAGATATTCAATGAGAAGTAATACTGAACATTTAAACTTAAAACAAAATATTAATATGATTTTTTTAGTGTTACAGAAGTTATTGAAAGTGAGGAGTATGATGTTCCTTTTAGTTCAGGAGGAAATAACCTGTGCTTAAAAATTTCTTTAGTAAAAGAATTCCCTAGTGAGAAGCCTTTACTAAAAGTAGTTCCCTCAGTTATTCATCATTGGATATCAGGGGATGGAGATATCACTACAGCTCCTGGTTTACTCAATGTAAGACTACTTAAGACCTCTTTTAACCATATACCTCACCTTTCTTATTTTAGTGGACAGTCCATTCTGATTTAGGAAGAGTTGTGCAAGCTATCATAAGGGAATTCCAGAGGAATCCACCTCCATTAGTAATTAGTCATTCCATAAATATGTCTCCTACAAGTCCAATAAGTAAGAATTATTTCATATAACATAGTTCTATAGATTAGTATACTAAGTATTAAGTTCAAACAATAGTGATAAAATTTACAAGGAAATGTAAACCAAAGGTTTTATAAACTTATTTGTAAATAAAATTTGACTTGTTGCAAATGTGCAAATATCACTAATGATAGTTTGGTAAGACTGAAAACATTTTGAAATGTTGTTCATACTTTTGGATAATTTTATTATAGATTAAATTTACTAATTATACCAGAAGTTTTACACTTTCTTGTAAGTTTTTTAAAACTATACATTCAATTCCTGGAAATTTCCTCTTTATTTATATGTTAATACTTTATAAAAATCTGATTTAAGAATTTATAAATTAATTCAGTAGTCCATTTCTAATATTGGCTGGATCCACATTAATTTTTAATTACTTATTCTCATATAAATTTGTTATACAGTGACTTTTTGATGTACACTGTTACTTGATTTATAGTAGGTAAAAGTAAAGTAAAGAGTTCAGGGATTTCAGGTCATGAAGGTGCCCCTAACATGACTTAACAACCACTTACTTACCTAGGACTGGCCAAATAAAACCAAATACTTGTGCATTTGAGGACAACAAAAAGATCTCATATTAGATAACAGAACCACAATAAAGTGCTACTACAACTACAAAATATCTAAGTATCAATATTTCATATAATGGAACATTAGACAGAGCTGTAAAAGTAAGAAATTTGGCAAGAAGAATAGCCATTACAATGTGAAGCAGTATTTAATGGAACCAATCCATCAGCAAAGAAAATAAAAAGAGCATTATATGAGACTATAGTGAAAAGTATCACTCCATACAGCTGTGAGATATTGCTACTGAAAGGAAGAACATTGGCAATGCTGAGAGCAACAAAAATGGATTTTTAGATAAGAGTGGTGGGAAGATCTAGAACAGAAAGGATTAACAATGAACACTTTAGAGAAATAATAGGAATCAAATGAACAATCAGAGATGACTTATCAACAAAACAATTTATCTGGTTCAGACATAAACAAAGAATACTAAAATGCAACCAGAAGGCAAGAGGAAACAAGGTAGATAGAGAACAAGTTTTAGAGAAGAAATAGACAAAGAGGTGAGAGAAAGAAACATAGAAGAGGATTTATGGAATGACCCAATGAATTGGCTATTGCAAGTCAGCAAATGACAGACAACATTATAAACTGGCATGCAGTATTTTACAATCTGCTTCATTTGAAGCTAGAACTAAATAGTTTGAATGTTCACAAATGAGGGAGAAGATGTCCTCTGACAAACCTTCTTTTGTACAATTTACATTAGTTTACACAGTTAATTTTTTAAAGGTATTAGCCTTAGAGCATTGAACATCATTCTTAATATTTTTGATTAAACTCCAAGTATTATCTTAATGTTTGATGGCTTTGAATGACTCCAAAGCTGGATACCATAGGTCCAAATTCTGTTTTATTATACATTTGTACATGAGTATGGTTGACCTATAAGCATCGAGCAAAAAGATAAAAGAGGGAATGTAAAGGTAGTGGGGACAAAAATATTGTTAGACAGGAAGTGCCATCTTGAGAGTGCCACTTTAAACAAGGAAAGACAGTCTCTTTCCTTGTTTAAAAAGTCAAATTTAGTTTGGTTATGTTATTGTTTGTCCCAACTGTCACATGAAATTTTATTTATATTGAAGTTTATTACCAATTGTGTCACTTTTTAGACTATTATCGTTAATATTTAATTAAAACTTTCTTGTCTGAAAAATATTTTACAGCTATTGTTAACAAGTGTTGGAAAATTTAAATTTAGCGCCTTTGCATTTCCGGATATGTCCGCCATCAGAGGCCACTTTTTTGGTCTCCTTTTCATAACGATTAGATTCCCTCTTTTATCTTTTTGCTCGATGCCTATAAGCCAGCTCATGTGTCTAGGCTTGGATGTGAAGTTTCTATATTAATCTCTTGTTGAGAGTTAATCCTAAATATTTAACTTGACTGCTGACTAGTACCTGTGGGCTATTTATTCTTGTCATTGGACATTCATATCTTCCATGTCGTGAAAGTGACTTGCATTAATTTGTTTTCATTTATTGTATTTATGGTTGGGATGTCAGCAATAAATATCAGGTAAAGGAGAGGACCTAACACCTTTACCACACTACTCTATGGGCAACCCTCATTTAATGGGAGAGTATGTGGAAGTCCCTTTGTTATATTTGACTTGAATGTAACAATCTTTGATATAGGATTTCATAATGAGGTAGTCGGGAGTTGGAAGGATGCTTTTAACTTTGTATAAGACTCCGTTGTAGGTCAGCAACATGATGTTGTTTTAGTTAGTTATCACATGATTTTAAATTCCATAGATTTTCTAGGACTTAGTTTATATAAAGTTCATATACATTAGATTAAAAAAATGGATTCTGCACTTGAAAAGAAGATGAAAAACTAAATTTAGTGATTTACTTTGAATTCTGGTAAAATTTTGAATTTGAGTTATGAAATTATGTGGATTGTGAGAGCTCAAAGTAAAAAAAATTAAATGTGACTTAATTTTAATTAATACCATTATTTATTCTAAATTGGTAAAGTGTCAACATTTTAGTGTGTTTTTATTATAAGCGGCAAGTAATTCATAACAAATATTTATCTTAATATTAGTCTACTAGAAATATATAACTTTAATCAATGAAGTATCTTAAAAATTAATAAAAAAGGCCAAAATTTTCAGAAAAATAACTCTTATCAAAACTAAAATAATTGTTCCAAAATAAATGACCACCACCTTGTTGAAGGCAAAGTCTTGCTCGTTTTGTAATATATCTGAATGACTTCTCAATCTCGTCTGAGTCTTTTTCATTTCTTGAAAGGCGCCTTGAATCTATTCAGGAAGTTCTTCCCTACTATATATTTCATCGTTATAAACTTTAGATTTTAAATATCCTCAAACATAACAATGATTAAAATCACACAGTCATGAAAGCCAAACATGAGGACTGCCCTTTACCAATCCATCTATTGGGGAAATTGTCTGATAAAAATATCTAACTGCACCTGTAATGTGGTGAAGCACCATCATGTTTAAAGTATATTTGACCTGGATTGATACTTCCATCAGCTAACAGCACTGGTAAAATATTTTCTAAACAATCTAAATACACTTCACTGATTATGGTGGGTGGTAGGACATGGTCCTACTAATTTGTTATCAACTATGCTATACCATAGATTAACAGAAAATTGATGCTATGACTGACTGCCTTGTGGAAATGGATTATACTATGGATATACTATCTCAGGAACGTGTGTTCCTGAGATAGTATATCCCATCTTTCATGAAGTTGCTTTCAAAGAAACATCCTATAGGTATATTTGTTTAGAGCTGTTGCTTTTTGAAAAGTACTTGACTCCTCCACTTCTTCATGTAGAATTCCCAATGTGATATATTTTAATTTAACCAAATCAAAATCTTTAACTAATTAAATATTTTTAATATCAAATGCAACTTTTTCAGATGGAGAAATTAGAGCCAGTCCAGTAAATTATCAAACATTTACAAACATAAAGAATTTCTCACCCCCCTCGCATGCAACACAATCTACTAGCTTTCAGAGTTTAGCAATACCAGATTTATCTACTTTAAATTTAGAAGAACTGAAATTTTTAAGCGAGAATCCAGATAGACAAGATGAATTTATAGATGAGCTGCCACTGATTAAAGAACAGAATAAAGCATTGGATGATATAATTCAACAGGTAGAAGAAATGGCAGGTAAATATTAATATTTTAAACACAGTATTTTTATAATTGTACTTATACAATTATTATACTGTAACTGTATGAAAGATAATTATTTCAAAATAGGTATAATAATATATATCAAGTGTTATCATATAAGGTTCTGGAAATTTTTAATAGTACATTGGGCATTATCACCATGTTAATGCAAAATCTGCTGTGAAATATATTCAATGTTATGAAATAGTGCCAAAATGTTTTTAAAGCAATGATTTCCTAAGACCTCCCTTCAAAAGAAGCAATCACTCTTTAAAGTTTTTTTAATTGCTTCTTGATCTACCACAGCCTATTTACAACATCACAATCTTTACACATGTATCTAGAAATCTTTCGTTTGCTATCCTTTTCTTCTGTATATGAATACACAATATGTCTGAAGGCGGTTTTTGTCCTTTGGGTTGCTGGAACTAATGAAGAAAAACGCCCTTCCTTTAATCTGCATATTATGCTGGCATGGGCGTGGTTCTTCTTCACTTGATCTTCTCTTCTTTTTGTACATTTCTATTGCTACTGATTGTGTCATGTACGCTACATACTTTCGCTATGTAGCGACTGGAAATCTCAAATATCTGTAGCCTGTGCGCGTAACTTTCTGGCAGAGATCGCATATATCTTTTGATGACCAGTATTTAGAACACTTGTCTGTGTATCAAATTAACAACTCATGAAATATCCGCCAGCCATCTACCTGCCAGTTTCATTTTTAAATTTTGAATGATAATTATATACTGGTTTGTAGAGACTGGTAAACATGGTTGCAGATATCAGGAGCTTGGAAGAGTAAGAGCGAACTCACAAAGTGGACGTTTCATAAACTTTTAAAGAATACTTGTGTATATTATAAAAGCATGTTTCGCCCTTCATATTCCTAAAATTCTGTAAGAAATAATATACCAATCCATTCAAGTCGGAAACTGAACTACATGATCGTCTAGAAGAGCTAGGGCGAACCCACAGGCTTTCGTTGCGTTTTCGTCCAAGGTTCGCCCCCTTCTCCTCTGTAACCGTATCAACGCGCTGGTGTTTATGTAGTTGGTGAGAGATAGTCTCAGTATATGCGTTGTTCTTGAGTTTTTGGGTACCATAGTGTGCTTGTTGTAGTTTTAGTTACTTGTATTTAAAAAAAAAACCGACGTTACATTAGCCTTAAAGTTGTTTTGTTTTTTTCTGATTTATTTTCAAAATCAACGCCGAAAAAACGACAAGGCGGAAGCAAAAGAAAACGGAACGATGGCTTGTTAACGTGTGTAAAATCAAACGAAACTGTGTTGAAGCGTACGTTTCAAGAAATACAAAGAAAACTGTATCTCCGCGCACAATCGAACTGCCATGTAAGTGTCGTAAAATGTGTTGTGAAAATTCAATATAGGTGTTCAGCCTCCTTCAGTTGCTGATTGTAATACCTGCTCTAAGATTAAATTTGAGCTTGATGGGTTAAATACTAGCAACCTGAATTCCAAATAACTGAATTATATACTGAACTTGCTACGAAAGCAACCAGGATGAAAATACTGAAGTTATTTAGGCAGTACCCACGCCTAAACTTACCTGCACCATACAATACTACAAAAGAAAAATGTGGACTTACAACTTAGGAATGCACAACGTTAAAGCAGGAGCAGCCATAATGTATGTTTGGGATGAAATCATCGCTAAACGCGAATCATGCGAAATAGCCAGTTTTCTTAGCCACTACTTGGGGAACTTTGTTAATGCATACGAGAAAAGTTATAATTTTTAGTGATAACTGTGCCGGTCAAAATAAGAACATAAACTTTGTTTTGTCTAACCTTCGCCACATTCATGCAAATCGCTTCGATCTTATTAAGCATGTGTTTTAATGTCAGGGTATTCGATTAGGGGATGTGATCGATATTTTGGTTCAATTAAATTAAATATCAAGGACTGTGAGGTATTTTCTAAAGAACACTATATCCATTTCATTACACGCACTAATAAAATAACAAATTCCAAGTTGTTAATGTCACGAGGGAAATGGATAAGAATTTCAGTATTTTTCAACAAGCAGCAACTAAATCTCAAATGGTGTGAGCTAACTTCAAGGATGGCAGAATATTCGAATTTTTAAAAGATTTAAGATGGGCTTTAAAATTCAAATCGCATATAACACGGATATTCCTACAAATGTCATATTCCAATAGGGACGAAAGCAACTTCACGATGTAATAAATTTTAACTTAGATATTATAGAACTTCCTCTTAAATACCAGGGTGCTCTCAAGCTTACAAAAGAAAAGAAAAAGGACTTACCAAGATCTTCTTAATTATGTACCCATGCCTCACAAGCGTGTTTTACAAGAAGCTATTAGTGGAGGAATTAGTACAAATAAACTTTTTCTTTCAAAAAAAAAAATGTAATTATCGTTATATATATATATATATATATATATATATATATATATATATATATATATATATATATATATATATATATATTATATATATATATTATATATATATATATATATATATATATATATATATATATATATATATATATATATATATATTATATATATATATATATATATATATATATATATATATATATATATATATATATATATATATATATATATATATATATATATATATATATAAATGGCTTGAGGCCCATGGCTTAAAAAATTTTGTTCTTTCTTCATTTTCGCTTTCCTTTATGTACTGAGATCCTCTCTGGCTCGATATGTGACTTTTCTCAATTCCTTCTTGTTATTCATTTTTCTTTTCTGGCCGTCTGGTCCAATTTCTTCCATATCTTTTTCTACCTCCTGATTCCATCTATTTTTTGCCTTCCTTTTCTCTTTTTTGAAGTTATAGTGTAGTTTAGTACCCTTTTTGGAGTCCTCGTGTTCGGCATCCTTTCTAGGTGACCTCGCCATCTTAGTCTCTGTGCCTTTATGACTCCTATTATGTTAGGTTGATTATATAATTTCTTTAACTCATCATTTGATCTTCTTATCCATAAACCATCCCTTATTATTCCTCCATATATCTTCCTCAAGACTTTCCTTTCCCATATCTCCAGTAAATTTTGTTCATTTTTTGTCATTGTCCACGTCTCACTGCAGTATGTTGCTATTGGTTGTATAGTTGTTTTGTATAACTGTATTTTTGCCTTTCTTGATAAAAACTTGCTTTTCAACATTCCACTAAGAGCATGTACACTTCTAATGCCTGCCATTATTCTAGCTTGTATTTATTCTTTAATGTTAGGTTTGCGCGATATTATTGTACCTAGGTATGTAAATCTTTCTACGATTTCGAATTCGTATGATGATCTTTCTTCTACTTCTACTTTAAACTTTTGTCCATCCCTAAACTGATCATCTGTCCACTGCATACATTTTGTTTTAGTTTCATTTATGTAAAGTCCCATCTTCCTTGCTGCTTTTACTATTCTCTGTACTATCTCCTGTAGCTCTTTTTTTCCTCTTGCCAGCAACACTGTATCATCCGCAAATGCCAAAACTTGGTGTCTTTTATGATATAGGAATCCTTCTCTATTAATTCTCGCATTATTTTTTCTAGGCATAAATTGAAGAGTAGTGATGACAAAGGATCGCCCTGTTTACTATAAATTTGTCCGATGTGTGATTGTTTACTTTGACTCTGTTTTCTGTATTCTCTAAAGTAAGATGTATCATGTTACGCAACTTTCTGCTAACTCCCAGTTCCTCAAGGGTCTCTTTTAATTCCTTCCTTTTTATTCTGTCGTATGCTTGCTGGAAGTCGATGAATAGCGCTATCGTTGGTAAGTTGTGTTCATAGCTTTCTGCTTGTAATTCTCTGACTATAAATACTTGGTCCGTTGTGTTTCTCCCTCGTCTAAATCCACACTGGTATTCGCCTATTATATCCTTCGCTTCTTTTTCCAGCTTATGTTTTATGGATTTTGATAGGATTTTATATATGGAATTTAGTAACGCTACTCCTCTGTAATTACTGCATTCTGTTTTGTCTCCTTTTTTGTGTAATGGACAAATAATGGCTTCCTTACAATCTTCTGGTATCCGTTCTTTTATCCATATCTCTTTTATGATCTTGCATATCCAATTATTTAGCAGTTTTCCACCATATTTCATCATCTCTGGTGTTATGTTATCGCTTCCAGGGGATTTGTTGTTTTTCAGATTTTTTATGATTTCTTCGATTTGTTTTTTGCTGGGTGGATTATCTTCTATGTCGTCTATGTGTTCGATTCTTGCTTCTGCTTCCATATGTTCTCTTTGGTTTGACTTATTATTGCCATTTAGTAATTCATCAAAATACTCTTTCCATCTTTCGACTATTTCTGCTTCCCCACTTATATTATTTCCTGCTTTGTTTTTAACGAATATGGGTTTTTGTTAGAAAGAAAACATTTCTTTTTTTTATTTTGTTTTTGTTTTCTGGTATCAGTTGCTTAATTTTGATACCCACAATGTAATGATCTGAGTCAGCGTCTGGTCCTCTGTATGTTCTTATCTTCTTTATACATTGCTGTTCCTCTTTTTCGATGAGCACGTGGTCTATTTGGTTTTTAGTCTTTCTATCTGGCGATATCCATGTTTCCTTGTGTATTTCTTTTCTTTCGAAATATGTGCTCATTATGATCATATTTTTTTCTCTTGCGAAATCTATCAGGAATTGTCCGTTCTCATTAGTTTCATTGTGTTTACTATATTTTCCTATTGTCGGTCTAAATACTTCTTCCTTCCCTATTTTGGCATTTGCGTCGCCTAGAATAATTTTCATATCATATCTGGGTATATTTTCGATTGTTCTGTTTAATTCACTGTATAAACCTTCTTTGACATCATTATCTTTTTCTTCTGAAGGTGCGTGAATATTTATGAGGGTGATTTTTTGGTATTTTCCCTTGAACCTGATACTACATATGCGCTCTGATACTGGTTTAAACTCTACTATTGCTTCTTTTAGCTCTTTTCTTATCATAAAACCTGTGCCTAACGTTCGATTCTTTCCACTGCTGTAGAAAAACATTGTATCCTCTATTTCTAATATATCATTTCCCAGCTGTTTCGTCTCCTGTAAAGCTACTATGTCAAAATGGAACTAAGAGTGCCTCTTACATTCCATGTTCCTAAAAGTAGGTGCTCTTTTCGTAATGTTTTCTTGTGTTATGGTTCGGTTTTCATTTTTGTACTCTCTTTTCCTTTTTTTTGTATTTTCCTTAACCTTGTTCTGTGCTTGTTTCATCAACGTTATTCCAGTTTAGTTGTTAGTTTTTTGATGTTTTTTACACATTGCGCCTTCTTTGTCATTCCACCTCCATTCGCTGTTATTCACCTATATTTTTTTTACTCCAATTTTTACTTCATTTCCTTTATTTCTTTCTTCTTGAGCAATGTTTCTAATTGTTTTCTGTATTTCTCGTTCTTTTATGGTTGCATCTTCGTTGATATATATTTTGCACTCTTTAATTTCTTTTAACTTGAGATTTTTTTCCATTATTTTTCTTTTTTCTTCTTGGTTTTCTAATTCAATTAGGCATGTTTTTTCGCCTAACTTGTGAGCATTCCTTATTTTAACCTCTACCCCTATATGTTGTTTGATGAAATTATTGATTGTTCCCTTTAACTCTGCTTGCTCATATGTGTCTATCCTTAGGCCGTTCATAACTATGTTATTTATTCGTCGGTGTTTTTCCATAACTGTTTTCCATTAATATCTTCGGTGAGGTGGCTCATCATTATTAGTAATTGATCAATTTTTGTTGCCTCATTTTTTTCTCTGGAGTTTTTGTTGGTGTTCTCGAGAACTTCTTGCTCTTTCTGAATATGTTATCTTCTTCCTCGCTGTCTTTATATCTGTCCTTTCTTTTTGCCCCCCCTTCTGAAAGTGTATCATCACTGTCTAAATTTTTTATATATTTTTCCATTTTCCGGCGCCAAACACTGTCTTCCACCTCAACAATTCAGAGAAGACAGCAGCGTTTACCGTATTTATTTTATGTTTATTAACCGTTGTTATTTTTCTGTGTCTACCCCGAAAGTCTACTCACAACGGCAACGTCGCAATTTCAAAGGTCAGAGTTTCGTTTCTATGCTTTGATGTTAATTAGGCTTATCATTTACAGCGATATTACTTTTTATAGGGCCTTGGCGTTTTCGGATGTTATTTCACCGATTTTAAAGTTTTTTCTTAGCACTCTCCTTCACTTAATGTCTTTTATATTATTCACTGGATGCCTTATATTATTCACTGGATATTTTTAATCCTAATTTATTCCCCGTTACAACTCTTAGAAATTGAGTTTATTGTAGACGACAAATAAAAATCTTTATCATACATGTCACAAATAAATAGCTTCAGAACTTATCATCTTTTAAGTTTTTTTAATAATATAAAACTTGTTCGCCCTTACATGTTTCTAAACTTTATACTCAATTTTCCAGAAACGTGTTTTTGTAGTTTGCCTTTACGCTTCCAAGCTCCTGAATATATCTGTTAGGAGTCCGTGCGGCAATTTTTCTTGTGTCAGATATATTGGCCAGCTTTCCTAAGGGTTAATAATTATTATATTTAATTTTTATCTTATTTTGTGTGTTGATTTTTACATATTGTTAGTAAGATGGAAATTTTATTAAATACTTATTTTATTTTAAACGTGTGCATGTTGTATTATTCCTTTATCTCTAACCAGTTCGTATCTGATAGGTATTTATTCTCTTTAATATATTATTATTAAATGTACTAATCTTTGTAGATTCACCTTCATTTTGGGCCGTAATATCTACATCGTTTTGTAGTAAAAAAAGTAATCTATCTGTCATCCAGTTTGCATCTCTAAGATATCGACTTCTTTTATTTTTTTCTATATACTTTAGAAAATACCTTAAAATAGTGTATGTATCGAAAATATTGTGATCTGATAATTTTATTTTTTAGAAGGGAATTTATCTAGGGAAGACAAATTACAGGAACTGCAAAAATGTGTCGGCACTACAATAGAAGAACTTGCTAAACTTGCCTTTGAAAATGAAAGACTGCATACCATATATCAACAATTATATGATAAATATGCTCCAAGAAATATACAGGTAAGATAAACAACCAATAAATGATAGATTATTATATCAGAATCAGAATGTTCAAAAATCAGTTTTGTCACTATGAAATATAGTATAAATCTAAATCTTTAAAAATAATCAAAGGTTTAAATTGTTTTAAGCAACGAGTCCAATTTATTTTTGGTTAGGTTTTATGTAAATAGATTGATCTTAGTTTAATAAAAATACGTTGTGAATTATGGATACTTCTCATCATGTATCTAAAAATATGTTAAGTATATACACAGATAACACTTGCTTTGTTTTCCACTCAATTCACTGAGTTTTTTGCTATATTTTGGTTAATTGTTTTATTATTTTTTATACTTAGGTCCCACCTGTTCATTGTTTGTGCTCTTGTTTGTTGTAGTTTTATTTTGCTTTCTCAGATATAAAAGGGTATCTACCAGCATTATCTCCTTTTCACTATGTATATATATATATATATATATATATATATATATATATATGTATATATATATATATATATATATATATATATATATATACATATATTACTCATTTTTTTATACACACACTTTTCCTAATTGGCTTGGGACGCACGTGGATTTGTGTGCAACAAAAAGCTGTAACTGAAACTAAATGACTTGGTGTGCAAAGGATTCAATGCAGCCCTAAATTGTTGGTTAAAGTTCTTTCCACCTCAAAGTTTCTAAACTCTCCAAGCATATCTCCTGCAGGTACATTGAATATCTACAACAGAACTCACTGATTTTAGGGTATTGAAATTAATTTTAGGTGCTTTGGGTAATGGATCACCCAACATGAGCCATTTTAGTAATTTCAGGATAATGTTAAATGTTTTCCGTTTATCTTCATATCGCTGTCTTCTGGCTGTTATTTTATTTATTTATCGTATGGCAATTACAACACATTTAGAACAAAATTACAAACACTAGTAATATAAGTATATGACAAACTTTAAATAATTACAAACAAACATCAAGTGTATTAACATAATCAATTGACTCTGAAGTTGCAAACAGGAAGTCTTCAGGGCTACCGTTATAGGATCTTGAGGGACACTCTTCTGGCTGTATTTTATCAGCATAGCGCTTACTTTTTGTGTATGTTCAGTACTTGACTTTTGTCAGAACAAATCGATGCCATAATAACACACTGTCCTACCTCATGCCACTACGCTCTGATCTTTTACTAAAACTTTCGCCGTTAAAAACTATCTTTCTATCTGTCTACAGTATCCAGAAAGTCTTGTCATTAGAATTTTCTCACTATGGCCATGAACGTGACAATTTGTTAGTAAGTGGACATCTTTGTCTTAAAGGGGAACTCATCACCGACGACCTCACGGCTTCATTTTTTTACATCTAGTGCAGTGTTTTTTTCAAAAGGACCGTCCCGGTATAAAATAGTCTCCGCAAAAATGTTATATACTACAGTCTGGGCTATGCATATTGGCATATTAACTTCGCTAAATGTTTTGATTATCTTTCCAGTTGCTGTTTTAAGTTTTACTACTGTTGGTGACTCACTCACTCTAGTTTCCCAACTTGTTGTGTTGGTTTTTTGTGTAATTGCGACGAAGGTGACATATTTCGCAATAATTTCAACATTTTGGCTCACGTTTGGTCGGTATCGTGTGGTGAATTACTTTCCGAACCAATACTTCCAGGCGTTCATCGTTCTGTTAGTCTCATTCTCCAATGCTTTGAACTCGATAACCGTATGAAGTTTAACTATCTAGGCTATGAAACTATTAATAAAATGGTTTATTAATATAGTAGTTAATATATATTAGTATAATAGTTTTGGCCCTGTAATTCGTAAACCTTTCTATAATTCGCTCTATCTTAAGGCATTAATGAACATATCTCCAGCTATTTTCTCCAGAATGCTGTTAGCCGTTTCTGGATCAGCAAGACATGCTTTAAATTTCTGCAAGTCCTCTTTTGCACGATGGAGCTTTATGCAGTTAAAAAAATGACTATTTTGTCTTATGCCCAATGGTTGGCCGTCACATTGACTTCAAATTATATATATATATATATATATATATATATATATATATATATATATATATATATATAGTGAAAAGGAGATAATACTGGGAAGTACCCTTTTATAACTGAGGAAGCAAAATAAAACTAGGGTGCTTCGTTCGATGTGCTTTTAATTAAAGGTCTAAGCTTTCGTCAATGATTATTGACATCATCAGAGTAAACTACAAACAAACGAGAGAACAAACAATGAACAAGTGGAACCTAAGTATACAAATTTATAAAACACTTACCCTAATTCTAGCAAGTAACTCAGTGACTTAGGTTGAACACAAAGAAAGTATTGTCTATGTATATATTAAACATAGTTGCAGAAATGGTATCCATAGTTTACAATGTGTTTTTTATTTAATTATAAACGATATATTTACTATAAATCTAACCACAAACAATTTAAAAATTTTACTAGTTTAAAAACAATCTAAAAGTAATTAACAATTATCGGCGGTGTCACTAAACTTGTTTGAACTAGCGGGATAATTTAAAATGTAAACATGACATATATAATCTAAAATGTTAACAACGAATACTGAAATAAATATAAAATATAAAAAATAAAATAATTAAAATTGTCATTAAACGGGTTGATTGAAAATATAATAAAATAATACAGATGAGGAATGTTTTATAATACTGATGGAGATATAGTATTGTTTTATATTATATATTTTTAAATTAAAATAGTTAAAAATCTAACCTATATCACTCATATATCTAGGCGACAATTTTTTTATTCCTGAAATATTTTGTTTAAGCAGGAAGGTGTAGATTGAACTTAAATTATCCACATCCTTCTTGTGATTGATGGCATTTTTCGCATTATAAATGTAACACATCTCAAGTATTTTACGCTGAAAATCTCTATTAGATACATCTAAGATGAATGTGTCATTATAGAGGGCTCTGTGGTCTTTGCTATTGACGTGAATACTAAGACTTGTAGATTGTGGTTTGAGTCTGCAATCACTTTATGAAGGGCCAATCTTTTACTTAACCTTTGGCCAGTCTGACCAATATAAACTAAGCCACATTCACATGGGATGCCATATATTACGTTGGAACGTTGTAAGGTGGGAGTAGGATCTTTTAATCGGGTGTAAAACAAGTTAAGTGTTTTTTGGTTGTAGGTAGATATTTTAATATTAAATTCACTAAATAAACTAATGAGTGATCTAGATAGATTTTGTATAAAAGATTGGCCCTTCATAAAAGTGATTGCAGACTCAAACCACAATCTACAAGTCTTAGTATTCACGTCAATAGCAAAGACCACAGAGCCCTCTATAATGACACATTCATCTTAGATGTATCTAATAGAGATTTTCAGCGTAAAATACTTGAGATGTGTTACATTTATAATGCGAAAAATGCCATCAATCACAAGAAGGATGTGGATAATTTAAGTTCAATCTACACCTTCCTGCTTAAACAAAATATTTCAGGAATAAAAAAATTGTCGCCTAGATATAAGAGTGATATAGGTTAGATTTTTAACTATTTTAATTGAAAAATATATAATATAAAACAATACTATATCTCCATCAGTATTATAAAACATTCCTCATCTGTATTATTTTATTATATTTTCAATCAACCCGTTTAATGACAATTTTAATTATTTTATTTTTTATATTTTATATTTATTTCAGTATTCGTTGTTAACATTTTAGATTATATATGTCATGTTTACATTTTAAATTATCCCGCTAGTTCAAACAAGTTTAGTGACACCGCCGATAATTGTTAATTACTTTTAGATTGTTTTTAAAACTAGTAAAATTTTTAAATTGTTTGTGGTTAGATTTATAGTAAATATATCGTTTATAATTAAATAAAAAACACATTGTAAACTATGGATACCATTTCTGCAACTATGTTTAATATATACATAGACAATACTTTCTTTGTGTTCAACCCAAGTCACTGAGTTACTTGCTAGAATTAGGGTAAGTGTTTTATAAATTTGTATACTTAGGTTCCACTTGTTCATTGTTTGTTCTCTCGTTTGTTTGTAGTTTACTCTGATGATGTCAATAATCATTGACGAAAGCTTAGACCTTTAATTAAAAGCACATCGAACGAAGCACCCTAGTTTTATTTTGCTTCCTCAGTTATAAAAGGGTACTTCCCAGTATTATCTCCTTTTCACTACATAGTACTCGTACCCGTTATCATCCTTCTGGTTATATATATATATATATATATATATATATATATATATATATATATATATATATATATATAAGCGAGGTTCCTACAGCCTCTGCCGTTTCTCGCATTTCGACCGCCATCGTTTTCTGTCCATCCATTCGTCTTCTCTGATGGCTCTATCTCTCATTATGTGCCGTACATTTTCTTCCCAGGCAACTGAAGGCCTTCCCCTTCTTCTTCTTTGTTGTGATATGTAATTTAAAGCTTTCTTTGGCCATCTATCTTCATTCATTCGTTTCACGTGACCATACCACACTAGTTGTCTCGTTTCAATTCTATCTACACTGGAATATACAGTATTTGTCCTCCTTCTAATATCTTCATTCCTGATGTGATCTTTTTTGGATATACCACACGCTCTCCTTAGAAAATCCATTTCTACTACTTCTATTCTTTTTCTATCCTTCTGCGTTATCTGCCAAACCTCTGCCCCATAAGTCATAATAGGCTCTACCAAGGTTCGATAGATTGTCAATTTCGTTTCTTGTCTAATATCTTTAGACCAAAGTAGAGAGTTTAGAATGTTTACCACTTTTTTTCCCTGCTGTGTTCTGTTTTCGATGTCTCTTTTGGTAGTGCCTTCTTTAGATATTATAGATCCGAGATATTTATATTCACTGCATGTTTTTGTGTTTCTAATTTCTAACTCTGGATCTTCTTCACCATCTCCTATTTTAAGATACTCTGTCTTTGCCATATTCATATTGAGGCCCCATTTTTCATATTCTTTCTTTAGTTTTCTAAACATGTAGTCCATGTCTTCCTCGTCATTCGCTACGACTACCTGATCATCTGCGAAAAATAAAGCTGTTAGACATTCACCACCGCCTATGTCTATTCCCATTCCGGATACTTGTTTTCTCCACTGCTCTAGCGATGATTGAATATATATTTTAAACAGGGTCGGAGACAGACAACATCCTTGTTTAAGCCCCTTGGTTATTGGAAATGATTCAGATATAAAGTTTCCTTCTTTAACGATACTTCTTGTATTTTTGTATATATTTGCGATAGTATCCACATACTCTCTACTGAGATCTACTTTCGTCAATGTATAAAATAGTTTTTTCAAAGGTACCGTATCATATGCCCTACCTAAATCTACAAACAATAGGTGGGTAGATAGATTCCTTGCCTTCCGTTTTTCGATTACCTGCTGCAGAACGAATATATTATCAATGCACGATCTTCCTGTCCGAAATCCATTTTGTTCCTCTATGTCTTCATATTCTGATTCAATTCGTTTTTTTATTATTCGACCGTACAACCTCCCAACTGAGCTAGTAACAGTTATTCCTCTATAATTAGAGCAATTGCGTTTATCCCCTTTTTTGTATATTGAGCTACTTCAAATTATATGAGATAAATATCTCAATTCTGTTTAAATTGGTGATAAATCTGTTGTTGGGATAAATTCTCATTAATCATTCTAATAGTTTCATTAATCATTTCTATAAATGAGGAGTTCCTTCAATTGGCTTGAAGGACCTTCTTGGAACTACTGGAATCTGCATCTCGTTCCTTAAGGTATTCGCGCAACTGCTTTTACAAAACGGATTGTGGCGATAAAGTTGATATAATACCCGCAGTAAATTTTTGACATAAATCTTAAATGGTATGTACCGAAAATCGAACTTTTTAGGTCTTTTGAACACAATACTTATCCTACAACTACCACTTTAAAACTATTGTAGATAAAATATAGTTTTATAGTCTAGACTAGACTGAAAATCTCTAAATGTACATAAAAATAAAAAAAAACTAATCATATGTTTTATAAATTTTGAAATGTTACACAACTTTTTTACTTTTTGTTATATAAATTGTAATGCAAAATTAATCTAGTTTTGTATTTTTAGGGACAGTTAAAAATAGAGGCTGAAAAGGCGGATAAAGAGAGTGAAAAAATTGCAGAATCTTTTTTAGGTGGCGAGACAGATGTTGATAAATTTGTAAACGATTTTATTAGAATTAAAACTTTATCTCAAAGTCGAAAAACCAAAGAAGAAAAATTAGGGCAGCAATTGGATAGATTAGAAAAAGCTGGATTTTAGAATTTTGCAATAATCTATTATTATGTAGGTAGATTTTATAATATAAAATGTGATAGAATATTTTGTTCGACTAAATTATTTTAAAAATAAAATATATAGAATAATACGCATTACATTTACTTCTAATAATATTGTCATTATTTGTGGTTAACTTTTACCTTGATTCTATTGTGTACTTATCTATTGTTATTGGTCAACTCAGAGTATGTATATGAAAGAGTAAAAACATTCACCTACCTTGGTAACAACGGCAATGAAAATTGGGACCATTCTAACCAGATCTGTTAATTACTATTTATAACTGGGAATAAGCCACAATTAAAGATAAAAATACGTTTATTGACGTTTCAATTTCCAATTCGGAAATCGTTCTCAAAATACAAACAGTAAATTAAACAAATTTTGTTTTTTGTTACATAGTGAAAAAAATTCTTCTAATTATTTAATTTTATCTGACTCATTTATATTGACAATTCAGACATACATTATGCATTTTAAAGTAGACGACTTTAAAATGATATTGCCAATATTGTTGAGTTGCGCTCCTGGGACGACTTTACTTATAAGATAGTTCATTCGATTACATGAAATCAACTTTAACTTGAGAATATCCGTCAGAAAAAAATCATAGCATGTAATTCGTCTTTAAAAAGACAAACACATGACATGATGACAGTAAAATTCTCCTGTTAGTGATTCCATAGTAAATTATGAGGAAAAAACCAGGAAAAAAACCTCATAATACTATCCCGACATTGTAAGTATTTGTTCGTGAATTTAGTTTACCTTCAACAAACATCAAAATTCTGATTTTATATGTTACGTTATTTAAAAAACATAAATGTTGTATGCTCTATATGTTACTGACTTACTAATACTGGTATTTTCTTATTAATAACTTCCTCTTTCAATATTGGTAACCAGATCCTACTACATTCTGCCGAGGAATTTGCGACACAATTGGCCTCATTTAGCATAATTAGAGCCGCTTCTTTGATTTTTCTTTTTTTACCATCTGTTTCTTTTAGGACTATATTTGAATTATTCCATTGAACCCTATGTTCATTATCCCATGCGTGTTTACATATTTGAGATCTATCAAATTCTCTATTTTTAATATAAGATTGATGTTCACTTATTCTAACATTTAATGGCCTTGATGATTCACCTAAATAAAACTGATCGCATTCACAAGGTATTTTATAAATGCAATTCTTTGTCCTTTCTTGTTCATTGTTAGGTTTGGTTTTGGACAAAATAGATCTCAACGTGTTTGTTGTTTTGAATGTTGTTGAAATGTTGAATTTATTTCCTATCCTTTTAAGTTTTTCTGATAATCCTTTTATGTACGGTATTGTTATTTTCCTCATATTATTCCTTATGTATGCTGTAGAATCTCGTTCTTTAAGTTGTTCTGTTCTATTCGATCGATTGTTGAAAATTCCTTATTTATAAACGATAAAGGATAATCATTTTTTAATAAAACAGATGTTAACAAATGTTTCTCCTCCAAGAACGAATTTTCGTTAGAACATGTAATTTTGGCTCTATCGTATAAGGATTTAATTATTCCCTTTTTTACATTAATATTGTGATTTGATTTGAAATTTAAATATCTATTGGTGTGTGTTGGTTTTCTATACACCTGAGTCTCATATCCAGTATCGTTCTTAGAGATTAAAACATCCAGGAAAGGTAGCGTGTTATTATATTCCTTTTCCATGGTAAATGTTATTGTCTCTTCTTTATCGTTTATATCGTTAAGGAATGTGTCCAACATTCAACAATCGATCGAATAGAACAGAACAACTTAGAACGAGATCCTACAGCATACACAAGGAATAATATGAGGAAAATAACAATACCGTACATAAAAGGATTATCAGAAAAACTTAAAAGGATAGGAAATAAATTCAACATTTCAACAACATTCAAAACAACAAACACGTTGAGATCTATTTTGTCCAAAACCAAACCTAACAATGAACAAGAAAGGACAAAGAATTGCATTTATAAAATACCTTGTGAATGCGATCAGTTTTATTTAGGTGAATCATCAAGGCCATTAAATGTTAGAATAAGTGAACATCAATCTTATATTAAAAATAGAGAATTTGATAGATCTCAAATATGTAAACACGCATGGGATAATGAACATAGGATTCAATGGAATAATTCAAATTTGAAAAATCAAAGAAGCGGCTCTAATTATGCTAAATGAGGCCAATTGTGTCGCAAATTCCTCGGCAGAATGTAGTAGGATCTGGTTACCAATATTGAAAGAGGAAGATATTAATAAGAAAATACCAGTATTAGTAAGTCAGTAACATATAGAGCATACATCATTTATGTTTTTTAAATAACGTAACATATAAAATCAGAATTTTGATGTTTGTTGAAGGTAAACTAAATTCACGAACAAATACTTACAATGTCGGGAATGAACTATCTCATAAGTAAAGTCGTCCCAGGAGCGCAACTCAACAATATTGGCAATATCATTTTAAAGTCGTCTACTTTAAAATGCATAATGTATGTCTGAATTGTCAATATAAATGAGTCAGATAAAATTAAAGAATTAGAAGAATTTTTTTCACTATGTAACAAAAAACAAAATTTGTTTAATTTACTGTTTGTATTTTGAGAACGATTTCCGAATTGGAAATTGAAACGTCAATAAACGTATTTTTATCTTTAATTGTGGCTTATTCCCAGTTATAAATAGTAATTAATTTACAATGCCACAAGAAAATAGCTTCAGAACAAAACCAGATCTGTATTTCAAAAAATGGCTTATTTAAGTTCCATCTTCTATCGAAGGTTGGAAATCATCAGGGCTATGCGGACCCTGCTGACTGCCGCTCTAAATAGTTCTGCATTACTGCATTCAAACCATTCCTACAAGTTCTTAAGCCACCATATTCTTCGTTTTCTCACATTTTGCTTTTATCGAATTTTGTCTTGCATATTAAACTGCAATAACGAGTATCTTTGTTGCATCCATTTGGAGACTTGTTGCATTGATTTGGTGAGAATGAAAACTCTCAGACAGTTGGAATGTAGGTATTATAATACCTATTCACAAGAGAAGGGATCCACTAATATGTGACAACTATCGAGGCATTTCCCTCTTAAATACGGCTTACAAAGTACTGGCTTATATACTTTGTGATCGTTTACTAGTATATTGTAAAGTCTTTATTAATTCTAATCTATTGTTCTTAATTTAATTTACTAAAAGTTCAATATTTATAACACTTCTTCTTCTTCATGTACCATGTCCTTTCAGAACGTTGGTTACCATCATAGCTATTTTAATTTTATTCACTGCCACCCTAAATAGCATTCTTGTATCTACACCATACCAATCTCGCAAGTTCTTCAACCATGAGGTTCTTCTTCGTCCTGGACTGCGTTTGCCTGCTATTTTTCCTTGCATGATATTTTGTAGCAATCTATGTTTGGGACCTCTCATTACATGTCCGAAATATTCCAGCTTTCTCTGCTTGATGCTTTTTATGATCTCAGTAGTCTTGCTGAGACGTTCTAGTACTGTGGAGTTACGAATCTTCTCCACCCAGGAAACTTTTAAAATTCTTCTATAGCACCACATTTCGAAAGCCTCAAGGCGATTTAGATCGATTTTATTCACAGTCCAGGACTCGACAGCATAAAGTAAGACCGAGAACACGTAGCAGCGAAGTAGGCGGATCCTTAATGCCAATTTTAGGTCTCTGTTACATAATACCTTGGACATCCTTCTAAAAGCAGCTCTAGCCTGCTCTATTCTGGATCTAATTTCGCCGTGATTTTCTGCATTACAATTTAATTGCTGTCCAAGGTAGACGATTTTATCAACTTGCTCAAGTTTGGTATTATTTACATATATAGACGGTTTTATATTCTGTTGTTTACTTATTACGAGTATTTTGGTTTTCCTTATGTTAAGATCCAGACCTGCCTCCCTACAACTCTCAACCATACTATCAAGTAGTGTTTGCAGATCTTCTTGACTAGAAGCTAGGAGTACTATATCGCATACCGTATCCGCATATCGCAAATTATTGATGACTTCGCCGTTCACAAGTATTCCTTCTTGTTTTTCAGAAAGTGCTTTTCTGAAAATTCTTTCGGAGTAAACGTTAAAAAGCAGGGGTGACAAGAGGCATCCCTGCCGTACTCCTCTTTTAATATTGAGAGCTTGTGATTCCACACCATCTACTAAAACTGATGTTGTTTGATTCCAATATAAATTTGCAATTATTCGAACATCTCTGCCGTCCAAGCCAATGTCTTTTAGAGCTTCGATCAATATAGAGTGCTTAACACGATCAAATGCCTTTTGAAAGTCAATATGTCAATGTTATAATATAACACTTAAAAATTTAATTTATTTAAAGTTTATTTATAATAATTTATCTTAGATAATTTATTTGAATACGAGTGTTACATTGTAAAATACCCGTTCACGAGTTTCTTCTTTTGACTAACTTCTTTCAATGAAAATCATGTTATATACTCATTCAGCTGGTGGACTAGAAGAGTCGATCGTCTTCTCGTCTGGTATAGAGTTTCTCGACCCCATGTATGTTGACCTGCATTGCCTCGAATGAACTGGAACCTAGACTGTTTTTTTTTTACTTAGAATTTCTGCAGGTAGTCGAAGGGTCGTAGATTCTAGAACATATTAGTGAATAAACAACATGTTTACAGGTTTTTTTTAATATGACTAATTTTTACGTAACAATATACTGAGGAAAAAATAGGCAAATACCAATGTGGATTCCGAAAAGAAAGGTCAACGATTAGATTTTCCTTCTCAGACAAACCTTGGAAAAGACATATGAATATGAAATTGATACCCATCACCTCTTCATATATTTTAAAAGCGCTCATGACAGTGTAGACAGAAGCGAACTTTATAATGCCATGGCAGAACTAGATATTCCGTCGCATCTAATAACATTGGTTAAAGGCAACTCTTTCGAAAGTTGAGTGCAAAGTCAAGGTATGATCATCAATAGAAGTGTACAGATATTGGCCTACGCAGATGACATTGACATAGTAACACGGACAAAAAGAGACCTGATACAGGCTTTTGAAACAGAAAAAGCCGCGAAGACAATGGGACTGCAGGTCAAGGTATCCAAAACAAAATACATGAATGTCACGAACAGCACAAAAATAGCGGCACCACAAGATCTGATGACAGAAGCACACACATTCGAAGGGATCTTGGAGTTTATATATCTTGGAACACAACTCATTAACAGCAACCTAGTAAGCGTATAAATTAAGAGAAAAATATACCTGGCGAACAGAGCTTACTTTGGACTAAAGCAGTTCTTAACATCACACATAATTAGCAGAAAAACCGAGATACTAATATATGAAACCTGTCCTGACATACGCGTCAGAGACATGGAATATGGTAAAAAGCGACGAAGAACTGTTAAGCTGCTTTGAAAGAAGAATACTTAGGCACATATACGGAGGAGTATAAGAAAGCGGGATATGGCGCAGGCGCTACAATTTTGAGTTGTATCAATGCTATGAAAAATGAAACATCGCCCGGTCTATTAAAATTAATGGACTAAGGTGGCTAGGACACCTTGAAAGAGTAGACACTGGGGACCTCCAAAGACAGATATTCTATCAAGAGTCAGTAGGAACCAGGCCAAGATCTAGATTTAAAACTCAAGTCAAATATGACTTGAGGAATCTAGAGGTCAGAAATTAGAAAGCCAGGGCGAAAGATATGGAGGAATGGAGACTAATTCTTGAACAGGCCAAGACCCACTCAGGGTTGTAGAGCCCAAGATGATGATGAATTAGTATCTTTGCCCTCTCATAACATGGCCTAAGTACTCAAGTTTTCTTCTTTTGATAGTCAATATGATTTTAGCTTTATTTCCTGTTCTTCTAGTAACTTCTGCGTTTGATATTCTTTGAGTCCATGATATTCGTAAGATTCTTCTGTAACACCAAAATTCAAAGGCGACCAACTTATTCAGATGCACTCGTTTTAATGTTCATGCTTCCAAGCCATAAAGAAGAGTAGTGCATTCATAACACCGAAGTATTCTTAGGCGTAGTCCTAACCTTATATCCCGATAACAAAGAAACTTTTAAGTTTAACGAATGATGAACGTGCTATTTCAATACGTGTCTTAATTTCTTTGGTTCTAAGCTATTCAAATGCCATGATTTATCAGTACTCATAAAAATCAGGTCACTACGATGTTCTATCTTTCCTATATTGTTCTACGGAGTTGAGTGAACTCTCACAGACGTTATCTGCAAGAAAATGGAGGCTTGAAGGGCTGAAAGGAAAGATATACAAGAGTGTGGCAAGACCTGCGTTGGTGTACGGTTATGGCCTATAAAGAAGATTGAGATAGCTGAAACGAAAATTGTACGGTGGATGTTAAGTAAAACTAGAAGAAACAGGATCAGAAACGACTTGATAAGGGAAAGAGCATACAGTCTCAAAAAAAGATTCATGAATAAAGACTGCAATGGTTTGTCGTGTCATACGTAGAAATGAAAACTATGTGGGACGAAGGATAGAGCTGTTAATGCAAGGGGAGGTGGAGGAAAACCAAGGAGAAGATGGAAGGACTGTGTGGCAGAGGACTTAAGAGAGAAACGTTTAGGTGAAGAAGACCCGATGGACAGATGGCAACGAAGAGTAAGCGACCCCTGAAAACGGAAAAGCCAAGGAAGCAGAGAGAATTCTTTGAACAAAATCTGGAAACGAATTCTCAGGATTTTATTTTGAAAATGTTCTATTTTACCGACACACGACGATAAAATCAAAATTTTGTAGCTCAAAACTAATAATCTTAGACTCATTGTTTAAGTAATCAATTAGTTCATAGTTATTAATTTGGCTCATTCTTTATTACTCATCCTGTATATAATCCATACTTTCTCACTGACATATATATTTGGTTGTTTCTTTATTTGATATTTGCCTACTACAAGATTTAACTTGAAATGGAAATAAAATTATGGGTACATATTAAATTTTTCTTTTAACACCACAATATCCTATTTACATATTATAATAATTAGATTAATACAGCTATATAAATATATACAAACTTCAAACAATTTTCTCAATATGAGATTTTTCCACCCCTGGTGAAGTGGTAATAATTTTGTAGGCAAAATTTAAAACCATGTTTTAATTAATTTAAAATCATATCAACACTAACTTTATTATATTTATGATTTTAAAGAGGTTCTGAAATTGTTTTCTTCTGGAAAGTTTACATACGTTAAATATTTTATTTAGATAGGATTAAACCAAAATTCATTGTAATCAAATGTTAAATGTAATTTTCATCACATATAATATTTAATTTACGATTTTTTTATATACTTAATATTAATGTATGTGCTAACATAAATAAACACATCTATTAATATTAAAGTGACATAAAACAAACTTATCATTTTTATAATCTTTGGTGTGAAGAATTTTAAAATTAATTACCACAACATTAGGAAACTACAATCTAAACTGATATAATACATTCATTTTTGGTCAAAAAAATTTAAATGAAAATTAAATTTTACAAATAAGCAAAACTATTAAGATATATAAGATATCCAAAATAGTTTAGATAACTGTGAGAAATCAACTCTTAATTAAGAATTCAATGTTTAAAAATTGAATTAAGAATTCAGTGTTATTAGTATGCTGACTTCCCATAAAATATTTAGAAAACAAGAATAAGCTCTTCACATTAAGCCATTGTTTGTTATAATTAACACTAGTGGTTTTAAATGCAAAATGTCAAAGCTGATTTTTAAAATTCTGATTTTGTCGCCATTCGAATTTTTGGCTTATTTGTGCCTTCTAACAAAATATCATAAGTCAGAGGTGCCTTAAATGTAAATCTGGCATATAATTAGTTATTGATAAAGCAACTTATCAATCCCAACTACTAGTTTAATATTTCAGATCCATCTAATACTAACACAGATAGAGAAATATTGTGATGTCCTCATATTGCAAATAGAATAAGACAAAATAAATTTATCTATATTTATAATATGAAGATACACTATTAATAACAAATCTTTTGTAAACAGTAAGGGCGCTAGATCTAATCAAAATTACTGTTTTTTCCATCCTGGATCTGATTCTTAGCCTTTATTGCAGATGGTTTAGACCTTTGAACTAAATAATCTAGTGGGATACTGCTGGGATTTGATATTGGATAATACCAAGCAACTAAATTAAACTCAAAATTTATATCGCTTTCTCCCAGTGTTAATGCTAGAAGATTAATTTCAAAACAAGCTCAGCAAATTACATATATACATATATTTTATTTACAACTTAAGTAAATACCACTGTTTAAATTACTGTTGGAATGAATAAGTGAAGGTAAACTTGTGTCGTGAATATCCAATACTTACATATTGAAGCAATTAAATGTTTTGCCTTACACAGAAAGGGCAGTGATTATTTATTTGGATTAATATAGATATCAAGACATAAATATTGTGATAGCCAATGGACAGTGACACAGAAATGTAAGTTATTTCACTCATGCCTTGATGGAAGGAGAATTATTCATCACATTAAGCCCCAGGGAGTCCGGCGCCGATATCGAAAAGGCATAGACGCTTTTTGATCGATCCTGACAAATTGTGAAATTTACATAGTAATAACAATCGTAGAACTCTTACACTGCACCATTATACAGTGTTAGTTGTATGATGGTGCTATGCTACGTATAGTAGTAATTAAAAATTGAATTTGATGTTACTGAGATTAATGATGAATTATCTCAATATACTTCACAACAACCTTTATCTTACTTAGCTGCAGCCAGTAAACAACAAGAACTAATCTATCCATCCAAACTAGAAGCAATTTCAATTCTCTTAATAATGTCAAATTAGAAGAATTCTTGTTAGCGATAGACACTCTAGTTAATCCAAAACATATTCTTTTTTTATCAAAAATCACCAAAAATAGTATCTGTATTTATTTCTCAAGCAAACAAATCGTAGATGATTTTTTTTAACAAAGGTTTATCAAGGTTTCATCACTGTAAACAATATACAAATTCAAGTCCGTAGACTAGTTACCCCAAGTAAAAGACTCTTAATATCCAATGTATCTCACACTATCCCGCTTAAGATAATAGAAAAAAACTTTTATCTTTAGGACTAAAACTAACTTCATTAATGTCATTTTTGCGAATTGGAACCACAAATCCGGAATACAAACATGTACTTAGTTTTCATCGACATAGTTCCCGATTCCATTGTTATAACATATGATGACATAATCAATATGATTTTCTTAACGCTAGACAATGTATGTTTCCATTGCAAACAACATAGCCACATTTCCAGTAGTTGCTCATATAACTGTAAATAACTCAGATACAGCTGTCCCAACTACATCTTCAAACAGAAATGAATCTACTACAGTATCTTCAGCAGCAACGACTGCTATGACACCTTCAACAACGAGTACCTCTACAAATATATCAAATACCTCAACGTCATCTTCAAAAACATCAGCTACAACCCACTTAACAACGCACTATACATCAACTACAATTAATGCAATATCAGTACTATTTAAAACAAATATATCCACTTCACCACCTATATCATCCCACACAAGCATTACCAAACAGTCTTCATCTTCCAGTCTACACAATAATTCTAGCTCTCTTAACGAAAATAAAGACTGTGTACAAGAATTTAGCATATCCAGCGAGGAAAATCGTCAAAATTATCCTTTTAAACGAACTATATCTGAAGCAATAACACTCCCCATGGAGACATCAGCTAGTGACAAGGTATTTTCAAGGCCAGCCTATAAACAAAAATGAATAAAAACAAAAACATCGACAGCGTCTTTAGAAAACCTAATGCAACCAATTAAGAATTATTCGATTCCGGAAAACAAATATTAACCTTCGAAACAACAGTTGATTTATTTGAAAACATTCAAGAAGTTAAAGATATTATCAGTGTTACAAATAAATATACCTTAGACACTCAAGCATTTATACAACTCTTATCGGAAATCCATTCATGTACATCCGAGCGTTCACTAAAATTGAAAATTTCACCAGCTATTATTTGTCTTCAAGAAACAAATTTCAAAGACCAACATTGTCATACATTTAAACTTTTCATAAAAATAGAATATAACAAATTCCGATTCCAAAAACCTATTCAAACTTCATAGGAATTCCTCCTTGCAAAATAAGCATTCCTCAATCTTACACATCCTTAAATATCTTTAGAAAGAATGATACTCCCTACTCCTTAATACAAAATACCAAAAAATTTTCTAACTTCCATCACGTATACACAGATGCCTGTAAAACTTCTATCGGAGTTGTGGCAGCTGTCGTTACTTCAAATATTACATTTGAGTATAAACTACCATCCTCAAGCTGCATACATACCGGCGGGCTATATGCCATCTACCAAGCTCTCACTTGTGCTCTCACTCATACTCCGGTAATATATCCAAAGCTCTTATAATTACTGATTCCCTCAGTTTCATCAATACCATTAACCAGCTTTACACAACACATCCACACTGTACAATTTCTATAAATATATAGTAGTAGTGCTAAATGATTTAAAATCATTTGTTAAAGTGAAGGTTGAAAATTTGTGGTAAAACCAGTGGAACAGTTTAACTTCAAAACTTCACGAAGTGAAGACATATTTGAAACCGTGGAAATGTCAAATTTCCAACGGGCCTCATTAAGTCGTTCATACTCGACTCGACCCACGGACATATAATCGGTCACACCAATCCTACTTTATGTGACAATTGTAATGTTCGACTCAGTGTTACATGTCATTGTAGAGTGTCCAAGATACCAGTTACAAAGACAGACCAACGACATCATCAGATCAACAAACTAAATCAGATCTAAACTTTCGTTTAGATCTGAATCGTAACGGTTTTGTTACTAGGAATTGCAAATGTTCAGTTATTTGGTCACCCTATTTTCAGAACTATATTGATACCATAGAAAGAGCCCAGCATAAGAGTTGGTTCAGTGGAAATCGGTTGTTGCTTAATACTGATAAGACAGTTTTTGTCTACTTTAGAACCAGCCAGTCACGAGAACAGCTTCCAGATACAATTAATTTTCTATCAAAAAACACGGAACCTGCTAGATCAGTTAAATTTCTTGGTATTCATATTGACTAGAATCTGAATTGGGGGGAACAAATACAAAATACAACAAAAAACTGAATAGAGCCTGCTACTCATTAAGAGTGTTAAAGAGCTATCTAGACCAGGGGATTTTACTATCAGTATATTATGCAAACTTTTATTCTGATATGCGATATGGAGTAGGGGTGAAGAGGGAGACTTGATCATATGGGAGACTTGATCACTCTTTAAAATTTCAGTAAATAAGTAGCCTAAAATTATAAAACCGGCAACAAAGCGTAGCTGTTAGTAGTATGTCTGAGTGTCTGAAGATCCCATTCAGAGTTGCCAGATTGGGGCATTTCCCCCCATTTTTGGGGTAATTTCAAAGCGTCTGGGGGAATTTTTATGAGCTAAAACGGATGGGGTATTTTTTGGGGGAAAAATTGTGGAGGATTTTAGATGGTCAGTGGTCATAAATTTGCGAATGTACATAGAACTGGAAGAAAAGGCTATTCTATTCATATCTGGTTTTTTCGATAGATACCTTTAAGGCACCCAAAAAATGTACTTATCTAAATATTTTACAAAAATATAGGCCTTTAGTTTTGATATATAGATCATTTTGTCTTAATAGACCACCGTCGTGTGGTCATGTATGTCAGTTTTAGAAATATGAACTTTCATATATCGGGTGTGGATTAAAGTGACGTTAAATAGAGACTATAACTAAAACGGAAGGCTGAGAAATTTGGAAATTAATGAGTTAATACAAATGGGATTCACAGCCTCATCGTTCCAATTCTACTCATAATCAATGACGTCCGATTTTCTAATCATGTTTTTTAAATTTAATTTTAATTTTTAAGTATAAGCAAAGCCATCTAAAGTAACTTTAGGTGGCTGTGATATAAGTGACATCAGTTTTTATAAATCGTTGTTGTTCATATATTGTTGGCATTGTTTTATTATGAAAAATTATTCTAATCCATCGTTTTAACATAAATAGTATAAAAAATTATAGTACAGTGTGTTCCAGTCTACAGTCTTTTCAAATTTATAAAAATTGTAATTATGCGACAAAATTTTAAATTTGGGGGATTTGACCTTAAATTTGGGGGAATTTCAGTTTCCAAGTGGGGGATTTAAAAAATCGCAGCCCATTTAATTTAGTTTGTATTAGAATCCACAACGAAGAGCACGTGTTTATTACAAGTTTTTTGTCCCTACCGAGAAGTGTTTTCAGAATTATTTCAAGTTGATTTTCTTTAATATTCGTTAAGGTGAGTTTTTCGTATAATTTTTATTTAACACTATAACCATTCAGTTTACGTTTTGCACATTTTGCAATGAGTTCTAGTTTGTCGTCATATTTTTATAGACAAAAATATTCAAATGGCGTCTTGGGGGAGACTTGATTACATCTTATCTGGGAGATGTGATCCCGGGATCAAGTCTCCCAGAAACTCCTTATAGATGAGTGTTTTTTATTTTATAGATATGCCACGTCAATACAAAAGGAGGGAAGGAGCAAAGAAAAGAACACCAGTCGACAGCCAGAAGTTAAAAGAAGCTGTATTAAGGTCGATTCAGACACATCAGTCACGTCTCGTCACAGTGATGGCACCGAACCGAACAATCCGTCATACAAAATATTCTTTAATACAAATATGGCGCCGGCATTCACACTCATCAGTTGACAAACAGTTTGCCAGCTGTCAGATAGTTGATAGTTCTGTGACCAAACAGGACCGGTTCGGTGCCGTGACGATGACGTAACTGATGTGTCTGAATCGACCTTTAGACGTTATTAATAACGGAACGTCTTTCAAGGGAACGGCAAGTCGTTATCAAATAAATATTATGACATTAAAAAGATACGTTCGCCGACAACGATCTGAAAATGTTGAAATAACCTATTATCCTGATTACAAAGAAGGCTCAAATTTTTACAAATGCAGAGGAAAATATGTTTAAAGATTATTTAGATGTTGCCAGCAAATTACACCACGGCCTTACAACCAAACAAGCAAAAGAACTAGCATACGAGTTTACCGTAAGAAATAATAAAAAAATACCTGCTTCGTGGAATAAACATAAGCAAGCCAGTTACGACTGGTCATACGGATTTCTGAAGAGGATGAAGATCTTATCGCTACGATCTCCGGAAGCAACCAGTCTTACTAGAGCAACTAGCTTCAACAGAAACAATGTATCAAAATTTTTCATAAATTTAAAGACAGTTCTTGAAAGCAATGGAATTGGACCAGAAGCAATTTGGAGCATAGACGAAACTGGCCTTTCAACTGTCCATAAGCCAAAGAAGATTATTGCATGCAAAGGTGCAAAACAGGTTAGTAAAAATTACGTCAGGGGAACGTGGACCAACAGTAACTCTTTGTGGTGCAATCAACGCAATTGGAAATCATATACCGCCTTTTTTGGTTTTTCCTCGAAAACTTTGGCAAGATCGCATAATTGATCATAGCCCACCAGGGACCACCGGCGTAGTTTATGAAAGTGGATGGATGACCGCTTCTAATTTCGTCAAATTTTTGGAACATTTTCAAAAACATGTAAAGGCGACTACCGACAATAAATCTTTAATCATAATGGACAATCACGATAGCCACGTTAGTCTGGAAGCCATAACGTATGCCAAAGCACACGGAATAGTTCTTCTTACCATACCACCACATACGTCGCATAAGCTCCAGGCGTTAGACACGAGTGTATTTGGCCCTCTCAAGAGTTTTTATAATACTGCCTGTGATGATTTGATGGTGGCGCACCCAGGAAGGACAATTACAATATATGAAGTCGGAGGATGCTTAGCTTACGCTTTCCCCCTAGCTTTTACTCCACGTAATATTGAGAGTGGATTCAGAGTTACGGGTATATGGCCTTTCAATTCCAATATTTTTACCGATGAAGATTTTATGTCGGCGTATGTTACTGATCGCGAAGATCCGGAAAACAAATCCACTTTATCCCAGTTTGATGTTGCACAACCAGCCATAGATAACAATAATCAACCCTCCACTTCTACTGGCACTTTCACCACCCCTGAAATTATTAGACCACATTCCTCAAGTGGATCCATTTCACATAATCAACAACTACGACGAACACTAATTGAGGACGAAAATCAGCCTTCTACTTCTACTGGTACTTTCACCACACCTCAAATAATTAGATCCCATTCTGTAAATATAGATACTTCACAAAATGAACAGCTACAACAAACATCAAAAGAGCACAATAACCATTCTTTCCCTTCTGCCACGTTTACTAGCCCAGAAATGATTAGACCACACCCTAAAGCCGGGCCCAGGACTTCAGCAAAGGGTAGAAAGCGAGCAACTACAAAAATTCTCACAGCAACACCAGAAAAACTTGCGCTTGAAGTTAAGGCTAAAGAAGAGAAAAAATTAGAAAAAGAGCATAGGGCCAAAATAAGAGCCCTAAAAAGAATAACTAAACAAAAACTTCAATCTTCAAGTTCGGGGGGCAGTGACATTATACTACCATCGTCAGAGTCTGAATATGATCCTAATGATGAAATGCAAGTAGAGACAGATAGTGAATGTGAATCGGAAGCAGAAGGTGACGAGTTTGAGTTGAGTGTGCCAAGATTGGGTAATTGTCAGCTTTGTCTCCGAAAGAAACTTTGTCCATCGATACGTAGGACAGATAATGGAAAAAAAGAACGAGGATTTTAAAATCAAATTTGCCCAAAAAAGGGATGAAAAAACCTTTAAGTGGCCAGAAAAAGAAGACATGGGTGAAGTCCCACGTGACCAAATTTTAAAAAAGTTACCACGCCCGACTTTTAGGAGCTACAGTAAGCGCATAGGATGTTTTGTCTTTCCCAAATCACTAAGGATGTTCAATATTCGAGAATAATTTTTTTTCTTTTATCATTTTTCAGTATAGTTTTTTGCCAGAAAGTGTTATATATTTTTAATAACATTATTTGTTATAAGTCATGACTGAGTAAAGTTAGTTTTCAGCATCCAATTTTTGGTTTTATTTTAATATCGTAAATCTGGAAAGGTATAATCAAGTCTCCCATACACAAGGATCAAGTCTCCCGGAGTACGGGGAGACATGATTAGTTTCTCCATGTTACGAAATTCTACAAAAACTCGTTTTTTATTAGCAGTATATTTTTCGGGTGTACAATACCCAAAACTGTGATAAATTTGTAATGTTCCACTAAATTATCAAGGTTCTAGATTGGTTGTAAAAGGAGCTATCTGAAAAAATGTAACGGTGGGATCAAGTCTCCCTCTTCTCCCCTAATCTTCTGGGGTGCTGCAGTAGATAGCTCAACTGTCTTATAGTCCAAAAAAGGCAGTCCGGGTGATCTTAGGACTAAAGGCGGGAGAATCCTGTAGAGACCGATTCAAGTCACTCAATATACTCACTTTCTCAGTCATCTATATATTTGAATATATTATGTTCCTTTTTAAAAAATTTTCTTTGTTTTATCACCTGCTTCCCAATCATGAATATAATACAAGCCTTAATTTGAATTTGCCACTTCACAGATTGTCTATAACAGAGAGAAGTCCTTTGTAAGCGTGTGTTAAATTTTATAATAGTCTACCATCTGACATTAAACACACTATAGAGCTTTTAAAAGGTTTTTCAACACCTTTTTTTGGAGGAGGAAATCTTCAAAAGACTGTCAGAATAGACCGCAGCACCCCAAGGAGCTGGTGTGCTGCCCTCTACCCCGCTGTGTGGGATTCAGTCCGCTTTCCCAATTCTGACACTCGTAGTGCCGAGAGAATCAATCGTGAGGACGCAACTGCCTACCCACTAAAACCCCCTCTTTCCAGCCGCGGACACCCGGTACGTATTTTTAGCAAATGCTACTTACACAACAATTATCTTTAGCCTCACTCAAGTACCGTCGTGACATGTCAGGGGCTATATTTATATATACGATCATACATGAATTTATTGATTGTCCAAACCTGCTAAGCCAGATTGACTTTAATGTTCCCCATCAAGCTCTACGCTGCCACAATGTTTTCAATATTCCTTTGCACAAAACAACCTATGGTATTCACAACCCATTGGATAGATACATGTTGCTATTAAATGATCGCGATTAACTCAGTTAAAAAGATCTCTTGCTTTGTGATTGTTGAATTTTGTTCTTGTTACTTCATTTGTTTTTTTAGTACGTAAGATTTTTAGTCATTATTTTTTTAAAACTTTTTAATATTGATTTTATATTATATGTAATTTCAAGTTTTGAATCCTAACTGTGATATTGTAATTTAAACTGTTAAAGGGGTTAGTCAGAGTTACATAAATAAAAAAATAAATGAACAAGTAAAATCTTAGGAGAAAAATGTAAAATTGAATAATTGGTAAAATTCATTAAAGACATTAATATACTTAACAAAATTTAATTTAACTCATGTATATGTTTATATGTCGCTAATAACCCCAGACAATGTTTGTAAATAAAAAAAAACATTAAGTCCTATGTGCATCACTGTTGCACAACATGATTTTAACACAGACCATGCCTACCAATTTGGTCCATGGTATATTATCCTATTTAAGAGAACTTTGGTCTGACACGAAAGGAGTGGTCTATGCTTTGGGGCTTAACATGTTAATATCCAAATTTGGAGAAACTAAAGAAAGTTTTTCTTTTGAAATATACTATTTCACTGCTAATTATTACTTTTTTATCTATGAAATTTTTTTGAAAATAACTTATTTATTTAGGAATGATAATGGTTATATTATCAATCATCTCAAATATCTGTGACGCCCATAGTTCAGTAACTAGGTACTTGCTTACTAAGCAGTACTATGTGGAGCAGGTTTGATCCCAGTAGACACCAGAAAATTTTCAATTTATAATTTACCTCAAACACCACTATGCTTCAGATGGCACATAAATCCATCAGTTCTGGGTTATGTAAGTAGTCATTAACACTAAAACCTTAGAAGATGCACAATAAGCAAACTGACACAATACTTATTCTTTAATACTCATCCTGTATATAATCCATACTTTTTCTACTGAGATGTATATTTGGTTGTTTCTTTGATTTTTGTCTACTACAAGATTTAATTTGAAATGGAAATAAAACTATACATATTAAATTTTACTTTTATTAACACTAGAATATCCTATTTACATATATAATAATCAGATTAATATAGATATATAAATATACACACTTTGAACAATTTGTTGCTTGTTACAGCTATATGTCCATATTTATAATACAGTCCTTCTCAATATGAGATTTTTTCCAACCTTGATGAAGTGGTAATCATTTTGTAGTCAAAATTTAATTAAAACATGTTTTAATGAATTTAAACTGATATCAAAACCCACTTTTATTTTAAAGGGGTTCTGAAACTATTTTTTTATGGCATGTTTATGTTAAATATTGTATTTATATAACGTTAAACCACAATTGATTGTAACCAAATGTAAAATGTATTTTCATTGCAATCAATTGTGGTTTAATCACACACATACACACTAATATACGATTTTTTTGATATATTTAATTTTAATGTAGTTGCTAATATAAATAAACATCTATTAATATTAAAGTGACAAACTATTTTATCATTTTTATAATCTTAGCAGTGAAGAATTTAAAAATTAATTACCACAGCATCAGGAAAATACAATCTAAACTGAAATAATACATTAATTTTTGGTCAAAAAACAAAAATTATGGTAAGGATGCACATTCAAACTAAAAACCCTAAAAATAACCCTTGGTAAATTTTTGTAATCTTGTAGCTTGTGTTTACTTCATAAAAAACTAATTCTATAACTGAAAAATATACTTAGTCTATGTTTTAACATAACTAATCATTTATTTTTAATTGTGACAAACAAAACTACTAAATCTTACAAAGAAGCAAAACTAAACTACATATTATCTAAAATTCTATAAGATATAAAAAAGATATCCAAAATAGTTTAGATAAATGTGAGAAATCAACTCTTAATTAAGAATTCTATGTTTAAAAATATTGTGTTGGGAAGATTTATTTCAGTTCCTGTTAGTGGTGTGCTGACTTCTCATAAAATATTTTTCATTTACAAAATAAGAATAAGCAGGATACATAGCTCTTCAAACTGAGACATTTTTTATTAAAATAAACACTGATGGCTTTAGGTGCAAAATGTCAAAGCTCATTTTTAAAATTTTATTTTGTCACCATTCGAATTTTTGGCAAATGTGTGCCTTCTAACAAAATATCATACATAAGAGGTGTCTTAAATGTAAATCTGGCATATAGATAGATAGATAGCATTATTGATACAGCAACTTATCAATTTCACCAACTAGTTGAATACTTCTGATCTATCTAATACTAACACAGATACAGAAATATTGTGATATACTCATAATTCAAATAGAATGACACTAAATTTATCAAAATTTATGAGGAGACACTTGTTAATAACAATAATCACTCTAAAACTAATCAAAATTACTGTTGTTTCCATCATGGATCTATTTCTTAGCCCTTATTACAGAGGATGTAGACCCTAAAATTAGATCTAGTAGGATAATATTGGGCTTTGTTATTGGATAATTCCAACTAAATTATCACAAAAAACAGCAGAACTGTATAAATAAAGTCTAAAATGTATATCTCTTTCTCCCAAGATTACTGCTAGCAGATTCGTTTCAAAAGCAAATTACACATACTTATTATTATATCTTCTATTGGCAACTTAAATAAATACCACTGTGTAAATAACTGTTAGAATGAATAAGTGAAGGTAAACTTGCCTCATTAATATCCCCTACTTGCATATTGAAGCATATAACTAAATGTTTTACCTTACACAGAAAGGGCAATGATTATTATTTGGATTAATGTAGATATTAAAACATAAATGTTGTGTTAGTCAATAGAAAGTCATATAGAAATGTCATATAGTCATATAGTGTACCAGACTGTAGCACAGCGTGTTTTAACTATAGACCATGCCTACTAATTTGGTCCAAAGTATATTATCCTGTTTAAGAGAACTTTGGTCTATGACAAATGGTGTGGTCTATGATTTGGGGCTTAACATGTTAATATCCAAATTTGATGAGAGAAACTAAAGAAAGTTTTCCTCTTGAAATATGCTGTCTCACTGCCGATTATTTTTTTATCTATGAAATTCTTTTGAATACCAATTTATTTAGGAAGAAAAGAACATGATCCTATTGTCTATCACCTGAAATAGCTGTGGCACCCATAGATCAGTGGCTAGGTACTTGCTTACTAAGCTGAACTATGGAGCAGATTCTATCACAGCAGAAATCAGAAAATTTTAATTTATAATTTACCTGAAATACCACCCTGCTTCAGACAGCACATAAAGCTATCAGTTCTGGGTTACATAAGCTGGTAGCATTATTTAATCTAAAACATGTTTAATCTAGAACAAGTTAAACCCCATCTGTAAGTCAACCTTATATTCCAACTTCACAATTCTTTAAATAGCTATTACACACCCATAGGTCCCAATGATTAAGCTAAAACATGATCATCTTTTGGTAGAAAACTTTAAGGGAAAGAGTTCTATGATGGAATTCCATTTTGTGTCAAAATTAGGGATATTAAATTTACTCAAAAGTTTGTATCTCACAATAACAATATGAACTACTTTTGGGAAACAAAATAAAATTTCTTCCCTAGATGTTATAAATAATTCAACAAACACATAATAAAATTTTAATTTTTATACTCTTCAACTCAAGGTTTTGTTTTTCTTCTGAATAGTTTTGCTTTTTTTGTAGATGACATTTTGCACAAAAGCCATCAATATACTTTTCACAAAAAATAAATACTTATAGCTGTCTAATATTGAATAGGTATTAAAAATAACAAGAAGCTATTAAATACATATGTATAAGACATACCGATAAGCTGATCTTTAGCTTTTTAATCTAGTACCATGTACTATTCAGTACCATGTACTATAAAGAACAAATGTAATAAGGGAATGCCAAAAGTTAAAGTTTGTTTCTATTAAAAAATCATTGAAAAATAAACAGTAAATATTGTTTAAAATCAAATGTATAGAGATAATAAATGCGTGATGATATAGTCAAATTTATCATAATCATATATTTATGAATAAGAATTAAGAATTCCATTTCTGAAAACTGTTTAATACATAGTTGTTTGATATTAAGTAAATTATATATTACAAAAACAAGAAAAATTAAATTTTCCAGTAAATAAATATTTTAGTGGTTAGTTTTATAAAGATTAGTGCATTTCACAGTTAACTAATAAATAGTTATGTTTAGTGGCTAATTATGTTTTAATAACTCATAAATTTACTTTCTTTTTGGATTTTCCCATTCCCATTAATTATGAGAATATGTACAATAACTATATATAAAAAATAAATTTAGCACCGTAAACATATTTGTATGGAGACAATTTTACTTATTAATTGGTTAATTATGAAATTATCTAAGCTTTGTGAAAGGAACCAATATTTTTATTTATACTACTTCAGAGGTTAGTTGGTTAGTTTATTTTTGGTTAAAAATCAGCATCAATTTTAAAATTAGTATCACCAGAATCAATTACACCTTCTTTTTGATATTCCCCAACTTTCTTTTCAAAGAAATTTGTCTTGCCATCAGTAGAAATAATGTTCATAAAATCAAATGGATTTTGGGAATTATATATCTTTTTACAACCAAGCTCTAACAACAATCTATCTGCTACAAATTCAATATATTGACACATTAGGTCACAATTCATTCCTATTAAGCTTACAGGTAGAGCTTGAGATAAAAATTCTTGTTCAATAGTTACAGCATCACGAATAATGTCAATGACTCTCTGTTCGGAAGGTTTTTGTACTAAATGAGTGAAGAGTAGACAAGCGAAATCACAGTGCAAACCTTCATCTCTAGATATTAATTCATTTGAGAAAGTTAGACCAGGCATAAGACCTCTCTTCTTAAGCCAAAATATTGAAGCAAAACTACCAGAGAAAAATATACCTTCTACAGCTGCGAAAGCTATTATTCTTTCACCAAAAGCTGCATTTTTAGAATTAATCCATTTAATAGCCCAATCAGCTTTCTTTTTAACACAAGGAAGAGTCTCAATAGCATTGAACAAGAATTTTTTCTCTGCTGGGTCACTAATAAGGGTTTCTATCAACATACTGTACATTTCTGAATGAATATTTTCAATAGCTATTTGAAACCCATAAAAACACCTTGCTTCTGTTACCTGAACTTCCTGGCTAAATCTCTCCACCAGATTTTCGTTGACGATACCATCAGAAGCAGCAAAAAATGCTAGGACATGTGAGATGAAATGTCTTTCATCATTTGTGAGTTTATTCCAATGTTCCAGATCTCTTGATAAATCTACCTCTTCAGTTGTCCAAAATGAGGCTTCTGCTTCTTTATATTTAGCCCAAATATCAGGGTACTCAATGGGAAAAACCACAAATCGTTTAGGATTTTCACGCAATAATGGCTCCAATTCAGGGTCGAAATTACTGCTGTCTCCATCCTGAATCTGTTTCTTAGACTTCACAGATGATTTAGACTCTTGAACTAGAGAGTCTACTGGGATGATATTGGCTTTGTTTTCAGATAACACCAATTTGTCCGTTTTAGGGACCAAAACATCACTCAAATTTTCTTTATCGTAAGCCGGCATTGTAACTGTACAAAACAATATAAAAGAAATTTCAAAACACGATTTTTTTCAGCAAAATTTTAAATTTACTCACCTTTAGAGAAATTGAACAACTCGACAAACCACAACACAAAGTAAAATAAAGCGCGGTAAAATGGGCTTGTATTTATATAAGCCGAAGTTTGGCGCGAAAATAAGTATTATATATGTAAATGTTTGGTTAGTTAAGTAATTATCTACTATGACTTGAAATAACTTTCCCCTTCCCGGTAAATGGTGTAATATTCTAAACCGTTATTTTTGCGTCTTATTCTATAATGGGTTATATTTTATATTTTTAAAATCAAAACATAACCTTTATTACTATTGGCGGGATTACTATTTATTATTCAGCCAGCTTGTCATTTGTACATTTGGTTACAGAAGAAAATTTGTTTTTCGTGAAGGTTGTAAGTTGTAAGAGGTAGGCCATAGAGAAATAAAAATAAGAGGTAGGCTCTCTGCGAATCTGAAATTTAAATCAAATTCTGCTTCAGTTTTTGATTATTGATCAATGTTGTTATTGGGTGCTCAACGTTATTTTACAATTGTTTTTAATAATCACTACCATGAAACAACAAGAAATTACAGTGATGACAGTCGTTTTATGTCCATCAAAGATAATTCTTACCAGTATCAGAGAACTAAACTACGAACGCAGAGAAGCGACACTCCTTTGATCTTGCGTGGGCAAGCCGCCAACGAGTGAAAATGACAGGAAAGCGACCTATTTACTAATAGTCAGTGGGCATATCACACAATATAAATTCTTAAATAAAATGTTGACTTTCAATAAATATGAAATATTGCACTGAAAAAATAATTACATGCAGGGCCGACTTTTGTTGACATTCTAAATGGTGTAATTATTTTTGATTTACAAAAGGTTGCAAATACATCGCACAACGCAAAGTAATGGTGAAAATCGTATTGATGGAATCATAGATGAAAATACTTTTTTGTTTATTCTGATGTTGGCATTGATAATACAATAATACACCGATTCTTTTTGGCTTGTGTTGATACAAGATATAATTTGTTCGTCGTGGAATTTCCTAATAAATTATCTTTCGTAATATAATCGAAAAATAACAAAGCCATTGTAACTGCTACGGAAATTTCACAAACTCTAAAAATTCCAATTCTCTTTGGGTGAGACTGAGAAACAAGAAACTTTATATTGATATCGATTGTTAATGTCTTGGAAACCCATTAAAATTACATTTTTCCTTTAAAGTCGAATATTGGAGTAAACGATATTCGACTAAAACGAATAAAAAATCAAGAAGTAACTATTTTACGAGTATATTTCTATAAATATAAAAATGTAATAACCTAAAAAATAATCAAAAAAGTATTACGAATCATTACAAGAGAGCATTAGGAAGATAAAACGAATTTATATTATTGTCATTACACATGATTCGGATATACATAGTAAATCCACACTTTCAGTTTAAACTAATATTTCGATACAATTTATTTTGTTTACAATAGATTCAGAGTTAATACATACGATTTTTAGTTGATAAGTATTGCCTTTAAAATTATTTGTAGTATCTAGTTTGCCTAAGCCGGATTTTTAACAATTATTTCTGGTTTTGTTGTTAACTGCGGTTAGTACAATTCTTATACTTGAAGTCAAAACGACGAACCATTGAACCTTTAGGCCAGACACTGGGATTGAGAACTTCATTTTTATAATCCAATGGATATGAAACTTTAAAGCTTGCTTGGTACTCCGTAACATTTAACTTCTTGAAGTAGAAATGTATATTTGGAGCATTTATCTTTAAATTATTGGTCAAATCTTCCGTTGTCTGTTGTGGAATTATATTATGTTGTAAATAAATAATGATTGATTGGAGTAAGATTTATATCTGTTTACTCTTAATATTGGCTATGAGCATATGTGCTTGGTTGTAAATATAGCAATTGTCATCCAGTTCTAGTCTGTTAAAATGTAACTAACTTTCGCAATAAAATAATTACTAAAATACTAGATAGTTGTGTCTGAGGTTAGCGAATCGACTATACATACACTACATACATTCAGTATCATTGTATATCCAAGATGGACGCCGCTACACAATAGCGGATTACTTATTTTTTCACAACTACTTCAATATGGGTATCAAATGAAAGGGCTTGACTAATAGAAAAGAGTTCATTATAGAAAATCCAAAATGGCCGCCAACAAAATGGTGGATTACATATTTTCCCTTCGCGTACTGTTGTACGCCAATGATTTTTTTTATTTTTATTGACTTCCGAAAGGCATTTGATCGTATTAAGTACTCTATATTGATCGAAGTTCTAAGAAACATTGGTTTGGATGGCAGAGACGTTCGCATAATTGCAAAGTTGTATTGGAATGAAACATAAGTTTTAGTAGACGGTTTGGAATCACATCGCCGTTTACTCCAAAAGAACGTTCAGAAATGCACTTTCTGAAAAACAAGAAGGAATAATTATGAACAGTGACTTCATAAATAATTTGCGATATGCGGACGATACATATACGGACGATAAATATTGAGATATACAATAAATAAAGTTTTAATATTTTTTATTTGTAATTCCCATTTAAATATTTATTCCCTAAATATGTTGTGTACTCCGATCCATATATTTGATCTTTGTTATTTATATTTAACGAATTAAACATTGACAGACAACTTTTGTATATAACAAAAAGTAGATGTGCATTTAGTTTTTTCATAATTTAATGTAAGTTTGTTTGGTGAAAAAGACAGCAAATATTTGAAGTTATGTTAATGTAAGTTTGTTTATTTGCAATCATGTTTTTATTTTGAAGTCTTGTTCCGTTGTAATTTTAAGATTTTCCCAATTTTTGATCTAATTATGTTTCCAACAATTTTTAGTTTGAGCATTTTAGGAATTTCTTTGTTTCGTTTAAATCAAATATTCTCGTGTATAAAATCCTCTATATATTTTTATTTCCTAAAAATACTATATTCGTATTGTTGTCTGCGAGCGCTTTCACACCAATAGGCCAACATCTGTTGATTTTTTGACCTGAGCCTTCGGAGACAATAAATTTAATGTGTGTTCGTAGTTCTCTGGTTTTTATTCTGAACTATCCCTTGGCAGAGCAAAATTTATTTTTTTATTGCTCCACTTAACGAGAGCTCGGGCGGACACGTCGGTGTCGGCTTACTGATCGAAAGTCAAATTAATACTATTATGTAATAACTAATAATAATTACAAAGCAATAGTAATTACCTGTTATTATTCTTAGGACATCTAAATAAACTTATTCCTTTTCCTGTCACCGATGAACATCCGCGAAACGCACAACAATAACCAGAAGACATTTTAAATACTTATAAATTAAACTTTTAACTATAAACTATAACTATAAACTTATATATTTAACTTATATATTTTAACTATAACTAACTATAACTATAAACTTTTAACTACTAAGTAAATTAGATAAATGGTCAAATGCACTTGTATAGTCGAGAGTTTACCACAGATGCCTACGGACTATCGTAAGCGACCAAAGTTGAAGAAAACGAACGTGTTTTTGACAGTAAAGCACCCTATTTGGGTCATGCGTATACAGAAAAGATACACGGATTTCGGGCCTCGTGTTGCTTCTCTGTGTTCGTAGTTCTCTGCCAGTATTGCCATAGTTATACAAAAACAAAAATAGATATTTTACATTTTATATAATATATTAGATTTCACAAATTACATAACATATTTTTAATTTAATTGTTGCCTACTAGTAAAAATCTTATTATTTTAACTTCTTCTTCTTCAGATGCAAATCCACTAATGGATGTTAGCGATCACATTTTCCATTAACTCTCTATTTCTTGCAATATGTATCAGAGATTGTATGTCGTTAATCCCTGTCCATTGCCTTATGTTTCGGAGCCAGGACATTTTCTTGCGTCCCATTCCTCTCTTGCCTTCAATTTTACCCTCGATTATAAGTTGGAGGAACTGGTATTTTTCATTTCGCATGATGTGACCTAGATACGCCGTTTTCCTTTTCTTGATGGTTTCGAAAAGTTGGCGTTCTTGGTTTATTCTTTTAAGGACATCTATATTTGTGATTTTCGCTGTCCATGGTATTTTTAGGATACGGCGATAAAGCCACATTTCGAAAGCTTCCAATCTGTTTATATCCCTCGTTTTGAGTGTCCAGCCCTCTACGCCATATAGCAGCACTGACCATACGTAGCACTTGGTAAACCTTAGTCTCAGTTGAAGATCGAACTCAGAACAAGTCAGTACCTTCTTGAATTTTACGAAAGCTTGTCGAGCTTGCTCAATGCGACATTTTACTTCCCTGTCCGATGCCCAGTCTTCAAAAAGCCACGATCCCAGGTATTTAAATTTACTCACTCTTTCTATGGATTTACTATTCAGTGTTATGGTGGAGTTTTCAAATGCATCCAAGTTTCTGGAGATGATCATGAATTTGGTCTTTTTGGTATTAATCTCTAGTCCCATTCGCTCACTGTATTCTCCGATTATAGTGACAAGTTGTTGAAGATCGACTATGTTGTCACAAATTAAGACACCATCATCAGCATATCTTATGTTGTTGATCAATACTCCATTCACCTTGATTCCCATCTCTGCATCCTCCAAAGACTCTTGAAATATGGCTTCTGAATAAATGTTAAATAAAAGAGGGGAAAGCACACATCCATGTCGAACGCCTCTTCTTATATGTATTCTTCTTATATGTATTATTTTAACTAGTCTACAGAAAATAGGTGTGTCATAAATTATACTAATTTAATGAATTTACTTCTTAAAGAAGTTCTTAAATAATAGGGCTGACAATATGTAAGGTTTCTTTAGGACTTTTTCAACAAAAATTTATTATAAAACATTATTTTATATTTTTATTAACCTGTTTATTAATATAATGATTTTTACAGTTTTTGAATCCTCTAAAGGTGGCAACAATGTGGCGTATACATAGTTTGTCAGA